CAATGATGAGAAATGGAAAAAATGGAAATAAAGTCTTTGTAAATAGGGAAGGGTGGAGGGCGTGAAGGGAGGGCTAGGAATGGGGAAAAACTAAGAACCAAGATGCATTATGTAAAGGTACAATTCCCAATGAAAAATGTAATTGTGTTGTATACCTAAAATGTACCAATAAAAGAATTTAATTAAAAAAAATAACCAATGAGTGCTCAAGTATTTTAAATCCCAATGAGGGGTAGGGGTATAGCTCAGTAGCAGGGTGTGCACCTAGCATGAACAAGTCCCTGGGTTTGACTCTCAGTATGCCACCTCCAAAAAAAAAAGCAGAGAGAGAGATAAGTAAGGACACAAATAACTAATACAAGTTAGATATAAGCTAGTAGGATATGATAACAACTACACAATATATAAACTAAGGGGCTTGGGAGAGAAACAAAGAATTCTAGCTGATTGGGTAGAGCAGTGAGGGGAAAATGGGAAATGCTTCACAGAAGTACTGTGAAGTAGGACTAGACAGAACATTTTCTTTTCTTTGTCTTTTGAGACAGGGTCTCACTATGTAGTTCAGACTGGCCTTGAACTCACTATGTAGCCCAGGCTGGCCTCGAACTTGCAGTGATCCTCCTGCTTCAGCCTCCCAAGTGCTGAGATAACAGGCATTCATCACTAAGCCAACTCTCTATAGACTGAACTTTGAAAGGAAATAATAATACAGTAAAAAGGTAAGATAGAACTTGCTGATAAAGTACATATCATACAGACCTTCTCAGAGATGAAAATTCATAATCTCTAATAAGTGAACAGTATTCAACTATTTTCAGGACACTGTAGGAAATATTATTTATATAGAGAGAAGATAGACTTCTAGAGACTGACTTCAATCATGAGAAATTATTAATCTTCTTGTTATTTAACTTTTACACGAAGAGTGAGGGCTGAGCTTAAGAAGGAAGCTTCCTTTGATGTACTGGGCAAGACAAAAATCAGTCCCTTGCTTGCTCACTGCCTCAGACTCAGTATTATTTTAATGACAGCAATTCTCCATGATTAGCATTCTTTGGATTTCTAGCGGTGATTTACAGGGAACCTTTTGTCTTAAACCAAAATGAAGAGTCAGCACCTAATAATAGTCATAAAGAGCTGAGTAAATTCCTGAGCTGCTTTGATTGCTCAAATTTACCCCCAACTTCTCGGATAAGGACAAGATGATGTCTATAGGCATCAGGCTGATGAGCTGAAAATAATTATTACTTAACAAACCAAATTAAAGCATTTGGCTCTTTGAGTTGATCTGTCCAAGCAGAAGCCTGAAAGGAGGCACTCTGAGCCACTTGCACAATGACTTACTTTTGATTTGGGCTCTCTTCAACTACAACAGGCTTTTTGTTCAAGTGTTCAGGTAGGCAGTGCTGAAAAACTCAAAAACTTTAGGATTTCTGTTCTCCTCACCTCATAAAACTTTTTCAAGGCGCTCACCAGACACAGCTTCAGGCTATCCACAATCTCCTGATGAGGCATCTGGAACACCACTCGTGAATACCATTTAGTGAGGGTCCTGGGGTGGGCCAGTGAAGAGAGAGGAAGATGAACAGATATTCACAGGGGAAGTCCCATGGTCTACATGTCAGTACACATGCCAGGTTTCTCTCTGAATCAACCCAACAAAAATCGATAAATTGCATTTATGTTATATAAGAACATGAAGTGATGTGGGAAGAGATATTCAAGCCATATACAGAACACACAAAAAATGTATAAATGTGGATATTTGCTATGAAATTCCTTCCAACAGAAAAATTTTAACTATATAACCACCAACCGAGGATTATTTAAATAACGATACAGCATATACTAAATTCTGTGCAGCAGCTAAAAGGAATTCTGATTTATTTGTATCAATATAGAAAAATATTCAAAATATAGTTTAAGTGCATAAAACAAGCTGATGAACAGTATGCATAGTAATACCTCATTTGTGTAAATATACATGTGTATATCACATATACATTTGTACAGTCATGTCCAGCATCACATTTCAGTCAAGGACAAACTGCATATATGATGGTGGTCTCATTGCTTCTCAGCCTTTTGGCTAAGATCAAGTGTAGTATAGTATGATGGTGGTCTCAAAATTTTATTGCCTAATGATGTTATAGCCATCTGAGTTTGTACAAGTACACTCTGTGATGTTCACACAATGGTAAAATCTCCTAAGTGACATATGACTATATATATTACACATATGTGTTAATATATGCATAAAAGAGAATCTGAAAGTATATAAACATCAAACCTTTGGTGGTGGTGAATAAAAGCCCATGAGAAATTTTTCACTTCCTAAATTTCTGCAGGTATGTAGAAGGAGCACACCTTATCTTTTTTTTTTTTTTTTGTACCAGGGATTGAACTTAGGTCCTTGCGCTTGCGCAGCAGGCGGCGAAATCACTGAGCTAAATCCCCAGCCCTATCTTTTTTTTTTTGGTACCAGGGATCAAACTTGGGACCTTGCGCTTTCGAGGCAGATGGTGGAACTACTGAGCTAAATCCCCAGCCAAGCACGCTTTATCTTTATAATTGGAACAAACAAAAAAATACTCATTTCTACAGGGGGAAGAAGCCAACGACACAAGGCACAGTCTCTATCCTTGCAAGAGGGTGCACTGCAGTGGGAAACAAACTCACACCTGTGACAAGTTTGACAAATAGGCTGCATAAACAAATACCACAGGAAGACAGAGGAGGAAGGAGGTTAGAACTCTTTACACTACAACATGTACTACTCAAAAATACCTGCTGGATTTATACTCAGATTAGGCATCAAAACAAGGTAATCAAATACAACAGAATTTTGAGTAGTACTTACAGATTGATGCTTGCAACAAAGCCAACCACAGAACGCATGCCTCTGCTGGGGTCATGGTAAACATCCATCCCAATCACCATTAACTGTTTCTAGGTTAGAAAACAAAAATAGCAAATTCAAAATTCAAGCATCACTCCACCTTTAAATATCATCTGAGTGCTAAAATTATCATCTGAGTCCCAAAGCAACCTCCCCCTAGCATTAATAAATGAAAATAGGTTCTGGGGAAGAAAGACTGGTATCAACTTGACATTTCTAAACACACTGAACAAAGACAGAGATCTAGAGCAGGAATCAATAAACTTCTACATGAAAAGATTAAAGAGTAAATATGCTGAGCTTTGTGAATCAGTTTCTGAAGGAAGTATTCAATTCCACCTTTATACACCAAAAATAGCTACACACTGTATATAAATGAGTGTAGCTGAGCTTCAATGAAACTGTGTTAAGGACACTGAAAGATGAATTTCATGTAATTTTCACATGTCATGAAATATTAGCCTTTTTTTTTCTCCCATTTAAAAATGTAAAACCATTCTTAGGTCATGATGGGCTGTCCCAAAACAGCCAATTAGAAACAATGCTCTTATACATAAGGGGGAGGGGATGGGGAAAGAAGCAGGATATATCATATACTGGTACAAATTTCCTACGATGAATGTTATCATTATGTGTATCTAAAATGTACCAATAAATGGTACATCTAAAAAATTTTTTTTTAAAACCAGCCAATTAGACTTTCAAGTAACCACTGGGAAAAGAAAGAACTACAGAAACAGTTAGGCAGGATTCTCTGGAGAGCCGAAATGAACACATATCTCAGCATCACTCACCAGAGGAATATCTACTCCCCAGAGCTCCCCGCCCAATTTACAGTTAATCTGAAGCAAAATTTTCTGAGCCACACTCCGAAGCCTGGCGGGCTGACCAATGGTTCGAACATTGATGACCTATAATGACAGGACCAAAACATACAAAGAAAGGCAACATCCTCAACCTCTCAGAAAATATAAACAACTCTAAAGTAAATACAGTAGTCCTTTGGATCCAGGCTCCCCCCACATCTGGATACCATTCTTGAACGATGTGCAAGTCCCTTATACACAGTGACATAGTATTTGCATGTAACCTGTACTCCTGTATAGTTTAGATTACTTATAATGCCTAATATAGTACAACTGCTTTCAAATAGTTGATATATTGTTTAGGGAATAACACAAAAAAAGTCTGTATGTGTTCAGTATAGATGTAATTTTTCTTTCTCAATATTTAAGATATGTGGTTGGTGAATCCACTGATACAGAACCCACAGATATAGACTGTACTACATTTGTTTTAAAAACTCAAGTTAGCAGGTATGTTTTGCATTAGTAATTCTAATTTTAGGTCCGTTATGTATGCATGCACACACCACACACAAACATACACATATACACACCCTACAGATTAAAAAATCAACAAATGAAAACTAAAATGTCTCATGCAGAGTAGATTTTAATCCCCTAAAAAAACAGCTTTCCCTTTTCAGAATGAAGTCTACACTCTCAGAGCTCTGTCATGAGAAACCACTTGGCAGCTCAATTGCTCACTGGGACAGGGAGACACTTAGGAAGAGGTACATACGTACTACTACTTCCCAGGCTACTCTGACTGGGCATCCTTTCACATAAGGCACTACCAATACTGGCTTGTAACAGATACTTTAGTTTTCTGAATATATGTACCCCTCCTCCCGAGCATCAGAGAGCCCCACCCCACTCACCTGTGAGGGCACTGGGGACTGCACACAACACAGCTTCTTGATGGCTCCATAGAGATCATCACGTGTGCCTGTGATGATGCAAACAACCACCTGTATCTTCCCCTTGAAGAGACAAAGTATATACAGTCAGGTTTCAAAACTATCAGGGGGCTTTCATGGGACTGAGTATGCAAAGCCACAGGGTCTGTGAGGGTAGACAGGGAATTAAAAGAAAGTGTGGTGGGCCAGGGATTTAGCTCAGTGGTTCTGCCAACTGCCTCACAAGCACAAGGTCCCGTGTTCAATCCCCAGTACCAAAAAAAAAAAAAAAGAAAGTGTGGACATTCCAATTAGAAAAAGGCCTGAATCTGAATGTGCATTTGTTTGGCTCAGGGCTGTTCCACAGGAGTAGGTATTATGTTACTATTACCTACCTAGAGCTGGGCTTGATTACCAAGGATTTATTTACTAGAAGATAAGAAAAGAACCAGGCTTGAAAATATGCAAAGGTTACATTACTTGCTGATTTCACTACTCTGTCATGTTGTATACTACTATCATTAGTTAACTAAGCAACTTATCACCTTCATCCCACAGAACTTTAACTGAGGAAATGTGGAATACTATACTGTAAGAAATGGCTCAGAGCCAAATGCAGAAGGAATGAAGCTATTGGTAAATCCACAGTAGCCATTCTTACTCTGGTTAGGGACAAGATGACAGTGCTGGCAGCATCTTCTCTCATTCACTGCTCAAGAGAGTAACTGCTGAAGACAGATCTTTCAAAATCTGCAGCGCTCAAATGAACTGAGGATGCCAACCCTTTATGCCATACATGGCAAATTTGTACCATACTGCTCCTAACCAAGGCTGATAACTAACACTTCTCAGAAAGCAATGTTCAAGTGATTACATCAGAGAATTTCAAAAGTCAAGTTGAACCTAGGCTTCATGCTGGGACCAGGTGGGCTGGACACAGCAAATGTGTTTTCAATCCCAACAATGATTTATAAATTTATTTTTTGTTTTTGTTTGAAACAGGATCTTGCTATGTAGTTTTTTTGGGTTTTTTTGTTTTTGGTACCAGGGATCAAACTTGGGACTGGAACCACTGAGCTAAATCCCCAGCCCAGGATCTCACTATGTAGTCCAGGCTGGTCTTGAACTTGCAACAATCCTCCTGCCTCAGCTTCCCACATGCTGGGATTACAGGCATGCATCACTGTGCTCAGCTTACAAATTTATTTTTAAATTAACACTGAGACACTGGGAAGTATATACAAATTCATGTTGTAGGCTTCCAATGAAAATGAATAAATTAAACATCAATCTGGCAGCTGGGTGTTATGGTTTAGAACTAGAATGTCCCCCAAACCTCTCATGGGTTCAAACTGGGGAAGAGGGCTTTGGAAGTGACTGATCATGGACAGCAAACTCATCAATGGATTAGTGCACCGACGAGTTCAGAGTTAAATGTTCTGTAAAGAGATGGATTTGGTTGGAGTAGGCAAGTCACTAGGGTTTGACCAAGAAGGGTGTCTTCTTTTTATTTTTCTTTTGAAGAAAAACATTTATTGCTACATTTCAGATATATATAATGATAACATTCATCATAGGGAATTTGTACCTGTACATGACATGTCTTGCTTCTTTTTTTCCCATTCCTCCCTTCTCTTTGACCCCTTTCCCCTCCTTATTTACAAAAACTGTTTTCATTTTTCATTATATTCTTTTTCTTCCTCTTCTCCCTTCTCTCCTTTCCACTGCCCCCTTCCCTTGTTCCCCTTCTCATTTGAACATTTTCTTCCCATTTACCAATATTATTACATATTTTGGTCCTTATTTCCACTTTGTTTCTCACACTAGAGAAAATAATGCAGTATTTAAATACATGCGTCCGATTTATTTCACTTTAGAGTATGGCCTCAAGGTGCATCCATTTAGCTAGAAATGTCTCAAGCTTATCTTTCTTTACAGCAGAGTAGTACTCCATTGTATAAAAAACCCTACATCTTCTTTATCCATTCATGATTTGATGGACATTTGGGCTGTTTCCAATATTTAGCTATTACCAACTGTGCCTCTATAAATATGAGTGTGCATATATCATTGTGGTATGATGCTTTTAATTCTCTTGGGACGATACCAAGAAGGGGAATAGCTAGGTCAAATGGAACTTCTAACTTTAGTTTTTTGAGGAATCTTCACACTGATTTCCACAGTGGTTGTACTAGTCTATACTCCCACCAAGAGTGGAGAAGCGGTCCTTTTTCCCCCACAGGCCCACCAGCATTATTGGTTGATTTCTGGGTAACAGCCATTCTTTATGGAGTGAGATGGAATCTCACCATTGTTTTAATTTGCATCTCTCAGATGACCAGTGATGCTGAATATTTTTCCTATATTTATGTGCCATTTCTACTTCATTATCTGAGGAGTGTCTATTCTTTTCAGATGCCCATTTTTGGGCTGGGTCTTTAAATTTTGGGGTGGTATGATGTTTTAAAATTCTTTACATATGCTAGATATTATTCCTTTGTCTGAGGATCAGCTGGAAAATGTTTTTCCTATACCATGGGTTGTCTCTTCATCCTGTTGGTGGTTTCTTTTGCTGTGCAAAAGCTTTTTAATGAGATGAGATCCAAGTTGTTGATTCTTTGTGATATTTCCTATGCGACTGGGGTTTTGTTCATAAAGTCTTTGCCTACAACAATGTCTTCAAGAGTTCTACCTATTCTCTTTTTCAGCAGATTTAGTGTTCCTGTTTTAATATTTAGATCTTTGATCCACTTTCATTTTAGTTTACTGCATGGTGAAAGATGAGGGTCTAGTTTTAATCTTCAGTATATGGAGAGCCAGTTTTTCCAGCACCATTTATTAAAGTGGCCATCTTTCTTCCAATGAAGGTTTGTTTAGCTCCTTTGTCAAAGATAAGGTGGCTGAGTATGTTTGCAGTTGTTTCTGCATCTTCTAATCTGTTCCACAGATCCTTCGATCCAGTTTTTTTTGTTTTTTGGTGGGTTTTTTTGGTACCAGGGACCAAACTCAGGACCTTGTGCTTGCCAGGCAGGCGTGGTGTTTTTTTGTTTTGCCAGTTCCATGCTGTTTTTATCACAGCTTTGTAGTATAATTTCAAGTCGGGGATTGTTGATGCCCCCTGCCTTGCCCTTGTTGCCCAGAATTGCTTTTGCTGTTCTAGGTCTCTTCTGGTTCCAAATGAATTTTAGGATTGTTTTCTCTAATTCTGTGAGATATGCTATTGGAATTTTGATTGTGACTGCATTAAATCTGCATAATAATTTTGGAAGTATGGCCATTTTTACTATATTGGTTCCTCCTACCCAAGAACAAGGGATATCTTTCCATTTTCTGCTATCCACTTTGATCTCCTTTTTTTAGAGTACTGTAGTTTTCCATGTAAAGGTTTTTTACTTTCTTCATTAAATTGATATCTAGGTAAAAAAAAATTGATATCTGGGTATTTCTTTTTTTCAGATGCTATTGTGAAAGGTAGCGTTTCCTTAATTTCTCTCTCAGTGAGTATGTTATTTGTGTACAGGAAGGCTACTGATTTTTGAATGCTGACTTTGTATCCAGCTACACCACTGAATTTGATTATTAAATACAGAAGTCTTTTGGTTGAGTTTTTGTGGTCTTCTATGCAGAGTATCATGCCATCTGCAAATACTGTAATGATAATTTAACTTTTTCCTTTCCTATCCTTATTACTTTTATTTCTTTCTCTTGTCTAATTGCTCTGGCTAATGTTTCCAGAACTGTATTGAATAAGAGTGGTGATAGTAGACATCCTTGTCTTGCTCCTGATTTTAGAGTGAAAGCTTTCAGTTTTTGTCCATTTGGCATGATGTTAGCTGTTGATTTGTAATAGCTGGCTTTTATCAGATTGAGATAAAGACCATCTATTACAATTTTCTGTAAGGGTTTTATCATGAGTGGGTGTTGGACTTTGTCAAATGCTTTTTCTGCATCTACTGAGATGATAATATGATTTCTGTCCTTGGCTCTGTTAATATGGTGTATTACATTTATTGATTTGCATATATTGAACCACCACTGCATCCCTGTGATGAATCCTACTTGGTCACGGTGTATAACATTCTTGATGATTTGCTGCATTCTGTTTGCCAGTACCTTTTTGAGGATTTGTGCATTCATTAGAGAGATAGGCCTGTAGTTCTCTTTTGTGGTTGGATCCTTCTCTGGTTTTGGTATCAGGATAATGCTTGCTTCAATGAACAAATGTGGGAGTATTGCTCCCCTTTCAATTTCATTAAAGTTTGAGAAGTAGCGGCATTAGGTCTTCTCTAAATGTCCTATAGAATTCAACAGTGAATCCATCAGAGCCTGGGCTTGTCTTCGTTGTTTTTAATTACATCTTCAATTTCACTGACTGATACTGGTTTATTTAGAATTTTTGTATCTTCTTAATTTCACTTTCGTAATTCATATATATTTAGGAATCTGTCCATTTCTTGTGTTTTTCATCTTATTAGAATACAGGTTCTTGTAGTAGGTATTGATTTTGTGGATTTCTGCAGGCTCTGTTGTGATTTCCCCTTTTCATTCCTAATTGCATGAGTTTGAGTCTTTCCTTTTTTCAGTAAGGTTGGCTAAGAGTTTGCCATTTTATTTAATCTTTCAAAGAACCAACTCTTCAATTCATTGATTCTTTGGTTTTCTTAAGTCTCCACTATATTAATTTCTGCTCTGACTTTTGGCCTTGACTTGCTCTTCTTTTTCTAGAAACTTGATATTCAACATCGGGGTGTTTATTTGAACTTGTTTTGTTTTTCTGATATAAGAATTCACCACTATAAATTTCTCTCATAGGAGTGCTTTCATCGCATCCCCTTAGTTCTGATATGTGGTACTGGCATTATCCTTTAGTGTAGAAACTGTCTAATTTCTTCTTAAATTTCATGTGTGATCCATTGGTTATTCAGGAGAGCGTTATTTAATTTCCATGTGTTTATGAAGTTCTCGTGGTTTCTTTTGCCATTGATTTCCAATTTCACTGCACTGTGGTCTGACAATATGCATGGGATAATTTCACTTCCTTTGCATTTACTTAAGTATGTTCTGTAAGCTAGTATGTGGTCTATTCTGGAGAATGTCCTGTGTGGAGCTAAAAAGAATGTGTGTTCTGATGTTGCGGGATGGAAAACTCTGTAGACATCTACTAAGTCCATTTGTTCAAAATTTTTGTTTGGTTCTGATATTTATTGATTTTTATCTAGTTGATCTATTTGTGACAGTGGGGTATTGAGGTCCCCCATTACAATTTTATTAGTGCTTATTTGATTTTTCATGTCTATTAGTATTAGTTTTATACAGTTGGGTAAGCTGGTATTTGCTGCATATATATTATGGTTGTCATCTCTTCCTTTTGAACTGTTCCCTTTACAAGGATATAGTGACCTTCTTCAACTCTCTTAATCAGTCTTGGCTTGAAATCCACTTTGTCTGCAAACAGAATAGCTACTCTTGCTTTTTTTCTGGGTTCCTGTCACATGGAGTATTGTTTTCCATCTTTTTGACTTTCAGCCTATGAATTTCTTTTTGAATTAAATGTGTTTCTTGTATGTAGCATATTGTTGAATCTTGCTTCTTGATCCATTCTGCCAGTCTTGTTTCTTTTGATTGGTGAATTGGGACTATTTACATTGATAATTATGATTGATGGGTATTGACTTATCCTTGTCATGTTATTTTCTTGTTGTTGGCTCCCCTTTCTCCAACCCCTCCATTTAATTGCTTGCCTGGCCTGGCAGATTCATTCTGTTGGCATTCATGGGAGTTGTAATCCTTGCTATCTCTTTGTACAATGTCCTTCAGAACATTTTGGACGGCTAGTTTGGTGGTCACGTATTTCTTCAGGTGTTCTTTGTCATGAAAGTATCTTATTTCTCCATCAATTTTAAAAGATAGTTTTGCAGGGTACATCAATCTAAGTTGGAGGTTGTTTTCTTTTCAGGCTTAAATACTTCACTCCAAACTCTCCTTGACTTGAAAGGTTTGTGTTAAGAAGGCTGCTGTGATTCTCATGGGATTTCTTAAATAGGTAATTTGTTTCCTTTCTCTAACAGCTTTTAATATTCTGTCCTTAAAAAAATACACTGTCCTTGTGCTGAATTTCTGGAAGCTTAACTGTTACGTGTCTTGGTGTAGATTTTTTTATCATAGCTAACTGGAGTTCTGTATGCCTATCTGTCAAATTCGTTTTCCCCTGCTTGGTAAGTTTTCTGCCATTTGTTCTGTGAAGGGGTTTTTCGTGTCATTTGCACTATCTCCTGCTTTTTCATTGACTCCAATCAATCTTATATTCTTCTTCTTTGCATCATCTAGCAGCTGTTGGGTTGGGTTTCATGGTCCCTTGCTATTTTTAAGAACTCTTTCTTTTCGTGGTCATTAACTGCAATCCTGTCTTCTATATCTGATAGTGTCCTCATGTTGGCTCATTCTTCTGCATGTACTTCCAATGGAAATTTTAATCTCCTGGATATATGTCTGAATATGTTTCATGGATTCCATTTTTTTCCTATATTGGGTGTTCATGCTTTCCATCATTTTCCTAAGATCCTCTATTTTTTTTATCTGTATCTGCTCTAGAATTACTAATCATGTCTTTCACTATGGTCACCATCTAAGAAACTACTTCTGATTTGATTTTTTTCCAGAGCCTCATTCATCTGCTTACTTTCTCTGTTACCACTTCAGAGAGTCTAGGTGGGTGGGTTTCAAATTGTTCCACCTCATTGCCCCCTGAGTTTGTCTTTGGCAAGCTGGAAGTTTGGGGCTGCATCTTCCTTAAGTGTCTTCACATTTTCTTTCCTTTTTTTTAAAAGTTTGATTTCTGAGTTGACGCTTGTAAATTGTGTATGGCAAATAGCTTTACTGGTAGTATTTAGAACCCTTAGGAAATGACTATTTCTCAGAGCTGTCTTCCAGGTGTAGCTGGCTTTTGGGTTTTGAGTCTGTTGCAAGATCCTACCTCTTCAACTTATTGGGGATAAGAAGTTGCTGCCTATTTGGCCTAGCACCTGGTTCTTTGGCACTGTCCTATAGTCTTGTTTATGACCCTTAGACTATCTCAGTCTTGGCATACCAGGAAGAACAACTGATTAGAAGGACTATGTCACCTTGGATAAAGTAGTACAATCAACAACAACTGAACGTTGTATTCTTATCCATGCCTTCTCTCTTCTCTGCTTCCTAGCTGCTATGGGTTGAGCAGCTTTCCTCTGCCATGCCCTTCTACCGTCATCCTGTTTCTTCTTTGGAGCCATCTAACCATGCATAGGCTGAAACCACAAGACAAAATATATCTCTCTTCTTTTTGGTTTTGGATGTCAGGTATTTTGTCTCAGTGACAAGAAAGCTGACTAATATACTGGGTGTGTTGGAACATGTCTGCAATCCTAGCTACTGAGGAGGCTGAGGCAGGAGAATCACAAGTTTGAAGCCTGCTTGGGCAATTTAGGAAGATCCTGTTGCAAAATTTTACAAAAGTAAAAAGGATTAGGGATGTAGCTCAGTGTTTCCTCGGTTCAATCCACAGTATTGCAAAAGGAAAAAAAAATCAATTTGGCAATAGTGGGTTTATGTCTACAGTCTCAGGATTATCCTCTTTAGCTCCCTATAGGGCCCTCCTAGCCACGTTCATCACCACAGCAATGTGAATCTTGAGCCAGACCAGACAGGGATAGCTCAATACTGAAATGTGAAGATGGGACCTGGCCAAGTAGTTATTTTCTGAGGACAACATGTTCTACAGATAATGAATTAAAGTTAATTCAGCTATTCTCTGAGCCAATTACATGAGAAAAAGATGACCAAAGTGACAAGAATGCCAACACAGAATGAGAAAAACAAAAACTACCTTCTCAGTTCAGCATTTCATAGGCAAATGAGTGAGACATTGGCTCTTGGACATTATCAACAGTAGCCTGATAACCAAGTTGATTTAAAATTAAGTAGTCAAGCCAGGTGTGGTTATGCACACCTGTAATCCCAGCACTTAGGACGCTGAGGCAGGAGGATCGCCAAGAGTTTGAGGACAACCTGGGCTACACAGTGAGTTCAAGGCCAGCCTGCACTACATAGCGAGACCCTGCCTCAATAACACTCCAAAACAAAAAAGCTAAGTAGTCAAGTAATTTAAAAGAGATCCTTCAAGTGTACTCAAATTACTTAATTTTTTGTTTTTTTGAGACAAGGTCTCACTACATGCTCAAGCTGGCCTCGAACTCATGATGATCCTCCTGCCTCAGCCTCCCCAGTGCTGGGATTAAAGTCATGTGCCACCATACCCTGCTCAAATTAATGTATTACCTCAACTCCAAGCACGGATTGAATGGTTCTGATATAGGTCTCTATTCGGTCATCCTTCAGTTCGACCCAGGCTGGTGGACTCATGTGCATGCCAATGGGGCCAGCTATTTTCTCTAACATGTTGACCAGTTCTCTGGCCTGATCCATTGCTTTCTTTGGATAAAATAGTGCCCAGAAGTGCATGGGTATCTAGGAACAATCACAAGATATTTTTAGTGCTCACAACTTGAACATTCCAAACTCACACGCAGAGATTTTATTATGGAGCATAAATGACTTTTCATTTCTTCTGCTTGAGTCCTGTCTTACCTAATTTCTACTATTCACAAAGATGTATAAGTAAACTGTGACACAGTCTCACAATGAGACACTATATAGCAATGAGAATGGAAGATCTATAACCACACCTAACAATATGGATGAAAAACAAAGTGAAGAGAAGCAACCAGACATGAAAGTACAGTCTCTATGTTTCTACATATATATAAAGTACAAAAATCAGCTGAAATGAACCTATGCAGTTGTCAAGTCAGAACAGTGGCTATTCTCAGTGTGTAGGGGATAAGAGGCAGATGGTAGCTGGGAGTATGGAGGGGGGCTTTGGAAATTTGTTTTATAACTCTTGGTGTTGATTACTCCAGTCATTCAATTTGTGAAAGTTGATCAAGCAATACACTTATGTGTGTGCTTTTTCTTTAAGTATATTTCAATATGCTTTTACAACAAATATATGTATTTTATAAATGGCCACCAAGAACAGGTCAGTCAGAAACACTTAGAAATAATTATATACAATTTTGTCCTTTGAAGTAAATAGCTAATGTATGAGTTGCTGATGAGGAGGAGTTAGTTTTGACTTCTTCTACGGATAAAAATACCTTCTAGGAACCCATGGGAAAAAGGGGGGGGGGAAGAAAAGGAGGAGGAAAAAAGAACAGTGGTAACAGGATGGTATTAGATTAATTACCACAGAAATGAATATCCCTCTCTTCAGTCTGTAGTTAGAAGACTTACTTCTAATAACCTCTTACACTGCTCTGTTGGACCTTTGTCTAATAGGTAATTTAGAATGGAATTCAACTGGTAATGCTCTCTAAAAGATGATACTAGATCATTCCTGTCTCCCCATTTTAATACACTGAGGAATAATAGGTCTCTACCACTTCAAAAATTACTCACAGTCAAGATGGAAGGGTCTCTCGTTACTTCCTTTACAAAGCTTAGCTCCTGAGATGTGATAAATGAAGTATTTCTTAAATTAATTCTTTCCATCGGTAGAACACGTCCTTCAATCTAAACAAAAAATAAAGTATCTATGAAACAAGTCATCTACAAATACTGAAGCAGGACTTAAAGAAAAATAAAGTTCTTCCCAGACTTGAGTAGATCAACCCCCTCCCCTATAGCCGTAACTCCTTGTTCTGGTACAGATAAAATTGACAACTATGTCCTGTAAACAAAGTTTACGACACCTTGTCTTCATATGAGTCATAAGACATTGTCTTCTTTTAAGGCAAAGCTACAAAACTCTCTGCCCTTGTCCTGTTCCAGTAAACTCGCTTGCTATGTCACTAGAAAAACTACCCCCTTTGACAAAATGTATAAAAGCTGGAACTTCTCTTTGTTTTTTTGTTTGTTTCTTTGTTTTTTGGTACTGGGGATCGATGGAACTTCTCTTTGTTCAATGCTCTTCCTTTGGACAGGAGTCCACTGAGCCGATGTACACTTTAAACCTGAAATAAATCCTAAATCCCATTGGTCTCTCTTGTATCTTGGAATTCTGCAACAGTACTACTTAAGAAATACTGGTTCTGTTGTCCGCTTGTCCCTGTTAGAATTTCTGAGAATGTTAGAAAAACAAAACTTCTAGTAGCAAAAGTCCATATCAATCAAAACCGAGACAAATATGGGTAACATGCTTACAGGTACCAGTCTTTCATTACTGAGTTTCCAGGGATTTTAAAATCCTCTTTAGAACCAGTGAATGAAGGAATGTAATCTTTGAAAAATATTTTAAAATGCTGAGCGTGGTGGTGCACACTTGTAATCCCAGCACTCCGGAGGCTGAGGCAGAAGGATTGCTGTGAGTCTGAAGCCAGCCTGGGCTATAGAGTAAGTTCAGGGCCAGCCTGAACTACATAGTGAGACCCTGTCTCAAAAATAAATAAATAAATTTAAAACAATTTTTTAGGAGACACTGAAAAAAGAAAATTAAAGGCAAAATTATTTAATGAAGCCAAACATAGGCTACATCCCCAAGCCTATTTAATTCTTTCAGCAATCCTGGGTACTGAATCCAGGATCTTGCCTACACTATGCACTCTACCACTGAGCTACATCCTCAGCCCCTACTTAATTCTTTATTTTTATTTATTATCATTATTATTATTTTGGTTTTTTGAGACAAGGTGTCACTATATAGTTCAGGCTGGTCTTGAATTCACTATGTAGTCCAGGGTGGACTTGAACTTGCAGTAATCCTCCTGCCTCAGTCTCTTGAGTGTTGGGATTACAGGCATGTGCCACCACACAATGTTAATTCTATCCTCATTTCACAGATAAGGAAAGAAGAGATGCTAAGTAACTTGCTCAAATTAACCAAGATTACAAATAGCAGACCTGGGATTCAAAGCCAGAAAAGCTAACACCAAAACCCATTGCTCTTCCCATCATCTTGTGTGTTTCTGCGCTGTGGATCATGTTTGCACAAAATACTACACTGTTGACTCAGGCAACTTCAGGTGGGAAAGGCCATGGAAAATTAGATGACACTAATTGGAAACTCTCTTTATGCCTAATGAAAAAAATAACAGTAGTACATTCAAGGAAATACAAGTTAATTATTAAGAAAGAAAAAAGCTTGAGGGAAAAAAAGAACAAAGAAAAAAAAGGACATAAAACTTTAAAAATAATTTGGTTTGGAAAACTAAAATGAAGTAAGTTGTAAGTCAATACTGAATCCTCTTGTTATCTATTTGATGAGAAGTTAGTAGCTCAGATCTGGGAAATACAGAGGAAAAAATCTGTAAATGATACTGGCAAATTAAGCCAAAAAAAAGAGTACAAGAATAAAGGAAAGACTCCCTCCACATTAAAGACGAGTTAAAAATCTTCAGCTGATCTCACACAACTCTAGGGCTCCTAGTCAATGCCATTTCCTGGCCATCATATCTTCTGGTTACCTTGTGTATGTCCTTTTGCAGACAGAGCCCCCACCGCATCAGTTCATTGTTGGCTGTCTCGTTCTTTAAAATTTTCTGGATCAAGCACTCCAAAGCCTTATGGTGCTGTTTGGGGCTCAGGTTGATCTGCTGGGTCAAATCCTAAACAGAATCAAAATGCAGACAATAAATTGTATTACTTTCTCCAATATAAGGGTAAGTAAATCCCAAATCTGCAATGCTTCCAAAAGAAATGTCCTTTCCACTGAAGTAGAAATTTTCATGAATTTCCATAAACTTTTATAAGTATCTCTCAAGAATGTGAATAAGGTATAGGGAAAAAATTTAATATTAAAAGAATTTTAAATGTTACTGGCTCCTCCTCATGACATCTGAGTCTTACCTTTCTCAAAGCATGACCTGAATTTAAAATTCCTAAGAGATTCTATCAAACAGAGGCAAAGGGAGCTTGATTATAATTATTTAAAATCTGGGAAAATCAAGAAAAAAAAAGACATGCCAGCATTCACTTACAACAGAACAGTAAGCCACTTCAGTCCTATACTTGGTCATATCATACTAGCCATTCAACTTCACGAGGAGGCACTTTTGCCCAGAACGTGCCATAGTGTTGACTCATCAAAAGTGCTTGCTAAATACTACTGAGTACATCTAACAGGTACATATGAAGATTCTGAATCATGTAAATGAGTTATTTGTTCTTTGGAACTAATGAATTGTACAGTCGCTGTTTAAGATGTCTATTGGGCTATCTAGACAGCTTTCCTCTCTGATTATAAAGTTTTTGGGCAACTAGTAGCTATAAGAAATAGGCCTTGACTTAAATACTCAAAGCAGAAGTAACCGAAGGAAAACATGAAAGAAATTTCTCACAGGAATTTTCAGCTTCACTTTGGTAGTTTAGTGGAGGTGAACCTATGGCAAGTGTGCTGCAGCAGGCTGTTTGTTATCACTGGAAGCTCTAAAAGGTTCGCCATCACTGAAGCTGAAACAAGGAAAGCAAGGCAGCAAGGAGTAAGTAGCTCCAGTATGGACAGCCCGAGCATTAGACAGTGGCCAGAGGTTCTGCTGCATGCTGCCTGGGGTAGGTGTTGGGCCCATCTCTGCCTCTCACCTAGTTCCACCAGGAGCTGAGCCCAATACTCCCAGGACCTCAGAGCCCTGTGCCATAATGTGTATCTTCGTCTTCCAGCTTGCTGATTTTTTGCTTCACTGTGTCAGAAATGTTACAGTAATTTAGGACTCTTAAAGAGCCTCATTTATGGCATTACTCATTATCCATCTAACTGGGGAGAATGAAGACAGAGTTGTTTGCTTCTTTTTTCCTTATTTTCTAGTCCCTCCACTATTCTAATAACTTTAAAATGTAGCTATAACATGCTTTTTCACACTCTACATGGGAAAGAACACAGATCCTATTTCACAGTGGGAAAACTGGAGCCTGAAAGAAAGGTGATAATACAACCCGGAGTCAAAGGGAGAACCTGGCCCAGTTCTAACTCAAACTGCTATCCAAAAGGTCACGGTTCAAAGCTGGTGTTTCCCTGTTGCACACAGCAGGACTCCAACCTTCATGGCTCTAAAGTCCTTCTTCATCTTCTCTGGAATCCCAGTCATGAAGGAAAGCTCAGGCAAAAGCAAGATTTCACCTTTTAGCAGCTTTGAAGAAAGAATAGAAAGAAAAAGTGAGGCAGTTAAGAGAGGATGGTGCTCCCCTGGCCTGCACAGGACAGCCATAACCACAGGCAAGTCCTCCAGTGACATAACTTGCCACATAAAACCCCAAAGAAGAGGGCAGGGAAACACTACAAGTATTGTGCCCATTTTCCCACTCAGCCACAATACAGGTAGCCTATTAGGTAGAGGGAAAAATATAAAACTGGCAAAAGAGCAGGGAAAACTAGAAAAGCAACAAAACAAACCCAATTCTGTACCTCTTGAACCTTAAGATTATACATTCTATCAAGCTGTGTGCCTTACTTCTTTTTTTTTGGTACCGGGGATTGAACTCAGGTCCTTGCACTTGCGCAGCAGGCAGCGAAGCCACTGAGCTAAATCCCCGGCCCCAGTGTGCCTTACTTTTATCCTACCTTGCCTTCGGTTTTTTTTTTTTTGGTACCAAGGATTGAACTCAGGACTTCGTGCTTGCGAGGCAGGTGGCAGAACCACTGAGCTAAATCCCTGGCCCTTGCCTCGGGTTTACTTTCTTTTTTATTTTTATTTTTTTTACTGAGATTTGAACCCAGGGGCTTCTCACTGAGCTGCGTCCTCAGCTCACTGTTAAAATTTTTATTTTTTGACATAGGGTATTGTTGAATTGCCTAGGCTGGGCTTGAACTTACAATCCTTGTGTCTCAACCTCCCCAAGTTCTGGAATTACAGGCATGCACTACCATGACCAGCTCTCTTCACAGGTAAACAGGTGACAGGGAATTTCCCCAGGACCTATCCCTGCTAAAATATATGTCTATACCTTCTTTACTGGGTCTAGAGTTTTAATCTTCATGCACAGGAAAATTTTCTTATTTCTTTATCCTAAATTGACGTGCTTATTTAGATCTTCATTAGGGGGAACTTCAAAAGCAAGTCTTACCAGTACATTGTGGTACCTCTGGTAAAACAAGAAACAAAACTGTATTTCCCACCAAGCTGTAATCATGGAGCCTGAAGAAGGCTACAAGTGGCTGATGGGTTATAGGACTACTGCTGGAGGTAAAAGCCTAACATCCCCACTCACCGTCCCATGTTTATTCTGTCTCTCACTGGGCCTGTGGATCAGCAGTGGCTGGTCCTCTTCCTTAACTGTGATCCCATAGTTTTTCCTAGAGCAGAGTAGAGGCAGGAAAAATTGCGGAATCAGCATCACTACTCTTATAACAATACACACTGAGTCTGTTAACCTCTTAACCAAGACTGAGGCCCATGATTTTGCACAATATCTTTGTCAACAATATATCAGAAACATAGCATAATACAGTGGTATCCTGGTTCACAAGCTTAATTCTTTCCATGATTCTGGTTGCAGAGTTCAGTTGCAATCAGAATCGTGGAACAAATTATGTGACCAGAATCATGGAAAGAATTAAGTTCATGAACTGATGCACCACTATATACTTAGCACTGGAAAAAGTGGGCTCAACTTAAATTGCAGTTACATAGAGGACAAAGGCAAAAGTCCAAGAAAGAGTATGCTAAAAACTGCATTAGGTTAAGGGTCTCAGTATAAAAGTGAAATGATAGTTGTTTTGGGTTTGTTTTGTTTTGTTGAGACACTATGTAGTTCAGGCTGTCCTTGAACTCATTATGTAGCCCAGGCTGGCCTCAAACTCAAGGTGATCCTCCTGCCTCAGCCTCCCGAGTGCTGGGATTACAGGCATGCACCACCATGCCCAGCTTGATAGTTTAATTATTAATGACTTGAAATTAATCTCTCCAACCAGACTTCTAACAAAAGCAGCAAAACATATACAATTCAAAGACTGAGATTAATTTATATAGTAACTTTCCAAAGTACTAAAAGAACTGAAACTGTAAGGGTAGCACATTCAGATCAAATCCCACAAATAAGCTCATTCAATCTTCAGCACATTATCAATTCAATTATTTTAAAAGTGTCACCTTGCATGCTATACAGAACTCACTGTCCTCCAGAGAATGGGAGACTATGTCCAACTGTGCCCCCTCTTAGGCCAAACCCATCTCTTCTTTCTACCTGTAGTATTCCAGGAATGTGATCTCCTTCCCATCAGACATTGTGAAGCTGTCCTTTGGAGTCTTATTCCAATCCACATCATCAATCCGATAGGTTCGATTATTGTATCGGGTAATAACAATACTGCCAACCAGAAACTTACTGCACTCATCTTGGAAGTTTTCTTTGCTCTGCTGGTACATGGCATGCCTTTAGAAAGAAGCAAAAGACTTTGGATCACACTTGTACACATAGGACAATATGGAATGGACAGGGCACTCAAGTAATTAATTTATGGATCTAATGGTCTAATCACAGCTAAACAGCACCAGAAGGCACCAGCTTCTGTGTCTTTTAAGGGACCGGACTCTGCGCCAGGTATGCTGGCAGTTGCCTATAATCAAAGTACTCGAGGAAGCTGGGGCAAATTTGACTCCAGGCTTGGAAATTTAGCAACTTTGTGAAACTTCGTCTCAAAACAAAAACAAAACAAATAATTTTAAAGGGCTGGGGATACAGCTCAATGCAAAGGTCTGGGATCAATCCCCAGTACAAAAAAAAAAAAGGGAAGATTCTCACATCTTTTTCTTTTAAATATAACCAAAAAATTAAAAATAAAAATCAAACAATACTGAAAAGTTAAAATTGTATTAAAAGCAGCAAAAACAAATTAATGAAATTCACTATATTCTGTAAACTATTTTTATCATCAAAATAATTGTTACTTTGTATCACCAGTACTAGTATACAGGCTGCAAGAGGTACCAGAAAAGCATTCTTTAAATTACATTTGCTCTTTCTTGCTATAGGCAGAAATTACTGTATCAGTGCCCATCACAAGGCAGGCACTGGTTATGATGCAGCTATGGAAAGATAGGGGAATATCCTCTCAAGTAATCTGTGTAACTGAGCTGTGACCAAAAGAGCACTGGGAACTCAGATACAACATATGAAGACACCCAGGCAGTCAATCAATGTTTACAGAGGCAGCTGCCAATGAAAGGAGCCAAGTGCTGCAGAAATGGCTGGGGCAGGGGCACTGGCAACATTCTGAGCAGAGGAAGTTGGGGAGGGTGACAATCAGGGATTATGAATGGAGAGGAGATGGGACTTCTTCCTGTGGGCCAGTGTCCCCTTCAATTCTTAGAATCCCTGTCAAGGCTTGGGGGGGAGGGATGAAAAAAGTATTACAATCAAAAAAGTTGAGCTTATTCTGCATATTAATCCTCTTCTTAGAGACATACAGCATACATTAATACATCAGGTTCTGAAAAGTGCAAGTAGAGAAACAACAGACTCCTCCCCACTCTACGTTTTACCTCACAGAATCTCTAGGACTATTCAGGGCAATTAGTACTGCAGAGCTTGCCTTAAAAAAGACTGCAGTGGGGCCAGGGATTTAGCTTAGTGGCGCTGCACCTGCCTTGCAAGTGTAGATCTGAGTTCGATCCCTGGTACCAAAGGAAAAAGAAAAAAAAGAAGAAAAACAAAAGAAAGACTATAGTAAGTGAAAAGCCATCAGAGATTGGTCAGCTCAACACTCACAGCAGACCTGGAAGCCAAAGTACCAGGGTTTAAACTTTCATGCTCCTACTTATTACAGCTTGTAAAAATTTCGGCAAGATACTTATCCTCTTTGTGCCTCAGTTCCTCATATGAAAATGGGGTTAGTACAAGCACCTAACTCACTTTGCTGAGGAAACAAAATGACTTTCTAAAGCACACAGACCTGTGCCTATAACAAAAGAATTATGTGCTTGCAAATATAATAACTGCCATTAATATAAACCAGTTGTAGTATGTATATGTTTTGACATTTTAAATGAACAGATTTTTTTTTTTTTTGGTACCAGGGATCCAACTTGGGACCTTGCGCTTACAAGGCAGGCACCGGAACCACTGAGCTAAATCCCCAGCCCTTAAGTAAACAGATTTTTAAATGATTTAATAAGGCCCACAAAAATGAAGACGAGATTGCTAGAGGGAATTAAAAATATACATATGGGGGAAGATGGCACAATGGCAGGAAACAGTTTCTCTGAGATTTGGTGTCCAGATGCTAGAATATAGAAACATGGGAAAGAGAAGGAGGGAAGTGGGTCCCTGGGACCCAGCAAGGATCTGAAGCAAGAACTGAAGCCCATAGGGAGAGCAGGAGAAGGAGGAGAGAGAATTCAACGAAGGAGGAAATTGCAAGAAGCACTTTCTTCCTGAGCCCTGCCTCACTGCATGGAAAGGGCAGCTCAAACCTGCAGACGCAGTGAGTAGCGATTCAAGAGCCCTCCTTGGAGAAACATGCCAGTAGAACAAAGCAGAGGACCCAGAGGACTGCAGTGGGTGGTGAGTTATTCGGGTTCAAGCGTCCCCACGAGAGGGGGGCAATTAGCTGGTAGCCATCTTGAGGGGGGCCAACTGAGCTCAGAATTCAGAGCAGCTGCAGGGTGGCTCCATCAGGGTGAGGCAGAATGAGTTCAAGTCAGCAGGAGGTCAAGGAACCAAGTTCAAGTCAGCAGGGAGCCAAGTTCAAGCCAACAGTAGACACACGGAGTGTTGCAGGTTGAACAAATCACGTTCCACCCTCATAGCCCGGAACCAGCCTGCACTTCAAAACTAAAGGTTCAGGCTTGCCAGGATTATTCACTACCCCACCATAAATCTACTGCTGGCTATTGTTTCTCTGGTATGAGAAACTGAAAGTGGAAATAAGGATCAAAATGCATAATAAATACTGGGAAATGGGAAGAAAATGTTTAAATGGCAAGGGGAGCAATGGAGAAAGGAGGGAGAAAGGAAGGAAGAGACAGGAAAAAAAGAAAATAGAAGGAAAAATGGAAACAAAGCTTTTGTAAATAAGGAGGGGCAAAGGGAGGGATGAGAAGGGAATGGGAAAAAAAAGAAGCAAGATATGTCATGTACAGGTACAAATTCCCAATGATGACTATTATCATTATGTATATCTAAAATGTATCAATAAATTTTTTTTAAAAAATAAAATACTGTTGTATGTTACATGTTTGGCCTTTGAAAACATTATGCCAATGGAAAGAACATTATACATATTGGGATGGAACTAAGATTATTTTTTTCCAGTACTGGGGATCAAACTCGGGACCTTGGACTTTCGAGGCAGGTAGCAGCACCACTGAGCAAAATCCCTGCCCCTCCACTTTTAAAGGTATGAGCTTACCAGTCATGACAGGTTTGTTTGTTTGTTTATTTATTTTTGGTACTGGGGATTAAACTCGGGACCTTGCACTTTTGAGGCAGGCAGCAGAACCACTGAGCTAAATCCCCAGCCCGGAACTAAGATTATGTTAAGCCAAACAACCCAGACTTAGGCAAGTACTGCAGTTCTCCCTAACATATGGAAGTTAAAAAAGATGACATCAAAGTGAAAGGGGCTATGATACAAAAAGAAGGGAATGAGGTAAAGAGGGATGTAAGGGCAGGTAATGGAGGATGGGCATGATCAAACTATACTATACATATTGAAATCCAATATTTTGTAAAATTAATAATCACTAATGTGTTAGTTACTTTTATTTTGTTGCTGAGACAAAATACCCGACACCCAAAGTTAAAGAGGGAAAGGTTTATTTGGCTTACAGTTCATAGAGGTTTCAGTCCATAATCAGCTGGCTCCCGGGCAGGGTGGCAGAATGGCAACAGCCCATGGTAGATAGTAGCAAAGCAATAAGAGACCTTACAGTGTCTTTCTGCCCCTTTTATATTATTCAGACTACTTAGGGCAGGTAGCACTCATGCCCTTAATCCTAGTGCCCTCTGGCCTAGCCTTACCATGAATCAATCATACACTCTAGATTCAGCCACCTCCAAAATAGCCTATGACCACATGAGGCTTTGGGGGACATCTAGACACAAGTCGAAACAACTAATAAAAAATTTATTTTAAAAAGTACAGGCAATGGCTGGGGATTTAGCTCAGTGGTTTCACCACCTGCTACACAAGCAAAATTTTGGACCAGAGTTTGATCCCAGGTACCAAAAAGAAAAAAGAAAAAGAAAAAAAAGTACAGGCAAGCTGGGCATGGTGGCACACCCTTGTAATCCCAGTACTGAGGGAAGCTAAAGTAAAAGGATTAAAAGTTGAGTTCTTCCTAGACCACTTAGCAAGACTCTTTCTCAGAAAAGGGAGCAGGAGTGGGCTAAGGATGTTCAGTAGCATAGAGCTCCTGAATTCAATCCTTAGTACCACAAAAAAAGTACTGGCAAAACCAGTATCCAAAATTTTTACTTACCTCATTGAAATTAATTTTAAAAAGTAACCGCAAAAGTGGGTAAAGAGAGTCGGGGATTTAGGTCAGTGGTTTCGCCGCCTGTTGCACAAGCACAAGAACCCGAGTTCAATCCCCGGTACCAAAAAACAAAACAAAACAAAAAAAGCGGGTGAAGAATATAAGAAGATAAATACATTAAAAAACATAAAAATATATGCGCAACCAAGTGTGTCCAAGTTCAAAATGCAAATTAAAACAACAATGCTAAAGCTTTTCACATTGGCTAGCAAAGACCAAATAGACTGATAATATCAAGTTCTTATAGCTGGGCATGGTGGCCCATACCCGTAATCCTTGCACTCCAGAAGCAGAGGCAGGAGGATTGCCATGAGTTCGAGGCTAGCCTGGGTACGTAGTGAGTTCAAGGCCAGCCTGAACTACATAGTGAGACCCTGTCTCAAAAAAAAAAAAAAAAATCCAGTTCTTATGATAGAGGGAACATTACATTTAAATATATGAGGAGAATGGGTAAATTGTCCAGGCATTTTGGAGAGTCATTTCAAAGTATCTATTAAAATAAAAACGCATATAATTTATAAAAAATAAAGAAAAGAAAAAAGGATTGCCCAGGAGGCAGGGATGTAGCTCAATGGTGCCTAGATTATGAAGGACCTGGGTTTGATCCCAGCACCAAATAGAAAAATATGTACCACATACATTGATACATGTATCATATATTACCTTATTTACATTTATTTATATATTTATAGGTTTCCTATCTCAGAGTTTCTATGGATCAGAAATTTCAGTGTGGCTTAGCTGGGTGCCTCTGGCCAGGGCTCTCTCAAGGCAGCAGGCAAGGTTTTCAACCTGGCTGCAGCATGTCAGGGCTTGACTGAAGCAGGCTGTGCCTCCAGCACTTTGGTGGGCCATTCCACAGGGCTAATCCACAGCATGGCAACTGGGCACCCCCAGGGTCAGTGACATAAGGACAGAGAGAGACGGCCCTCCAGGCAGAAGATAATCTTTTCATCATCTGTTCTCAGAAGTGACATCCATCATTTCATCATCTTCTATTCTTTAGAGGCATATCAGCTCAGGAGGCTGAGTTAGGAGAATCACCATGAGTTCAGCCTAGGCAACATAGTGAGTTCAAGGCCAGCCTGAACTATATAGTAAGTCCCTATCTCAAATAAAAAACAAAACCCCAAAATAGAGATATGTCAGGGAGTTCAGCCCACTCTCAGTAAGAGGACTATACAATGGCCAGGCAGTATAAATAATGGGAAATGATGATCTTCTCTTTGACCAAACTCTTTTGAATCCTCTTCCCAATCAAGCTTTAACTTTTGGGCTTCCATTTCATCACCCTATTGTCCAGTTTTAGCTAGAATCCTACTAAGTTGGTTTAGCCAGAATCCCCACCCTTCCTATCTGATCACCTTCCATAACTGATGAGAGTCCTCACCATCTGCAAAGGTGGCTTCTGATCCCCAGGCCTGCCTCCAGCAAGAATCCTGTTAGATCTATTTAGCCAGAATCTCCCGACTCCTAATATTTCCTGTTAGTAATTTTCCATTCACTGACCACTACGAGGCTCTAGGTTCAATTGCAGCACACCAAAAAAAAAATAAAAAAAAAAAAATCCAAAGAGAAAAGTGTCAAACCTGTATTATGAACAGCTATTACCGAACATCTTGGAAAGTCATGCTCCTTGGTTATAAATTCCCACTTTTCCCTGTTATATTCAGAGTTGAGCCCAGTCTCTCTCCTCTACTGCCAAGACCCCGTGCAATGGTACCTAAACAAAGTTTGCTTTAACATTCTTTAACAAGTGTCATGATTTTTTTCTTTAACAGAAACCACAACTAGGTATGTTATAGTGAAACTTCTAAAATAAAATTTTTTTAAAAAACAAAACAATTTAAAAGACAGCTGTAGCTGGGGATGGTGGCATACGCCTGTAATACCAGCACTCAGGAGGGTGAGGTAGGAAGTAGGAGGATCACTTCGATTTCAAGTCCAGCCTGGGCTACACAGGGAGACCCTGTCTCAAAAAAAAGAAAGACACCAGTAACCCCGGCAGTTGATTTGTCAAAAGAAACAATGTAAGCCAGAAGATAATGAATGGCATAGTTTCAAAGTCTTCAAAGAAAATACCTGCCAACAGACTGAGGCAGAACAATTGCAGGTTCAAGCCCAGCTGGTCAACTCAGTGAGACTCTGTCTCAAAATAAAAAATAAAAAGAGATGGGGTATACCTCAGTGTGAAGCCTTGGGTTCAATATCAAAGACTGCAAAAAACAAAACAAGGCAAGGTGAAGGCCATTTTAAAATAAAATCTGAAAGAATTTTGTCACCCAGATTCCACACTAAATGACATATTGCAGGAAGTTCCTTCAGACATAAAGAAACTCATTCTAGATACAATCCTAATATATATAGAAAGGAATACAAAACAAATCACAATTCAAGACCCTGAAGTAACAACAACTGTAAAGATTTTAAAGGTGCAAGGGTGAGGGGAGACACACAGATACTCCGGAATCAGAAATCAAAATGGCTGGGCTGGGGATTTAGCTCAGTGGTTTCACTGCTTGCTATGCAAGCGCAAGGACCCGAGTTTGATCCCCAGCACCAAAAAAAAAAAAAAGAAATCAAAATGGTTTTAGATTTTTCAACAGGAAATCTAAAAGCAGAGACACTGGAAAGCTATGCCATCACAATTCTGAGGGAAAAATATCTCCAACTTAGAACTTTACACCTAATCTAAGGTACACTAGACATTTTCAAACATGGCCTCAAAATAATTTCCTCCTATGCACCCTTCTTCAGGAAAATGCTAGAAGATATACTGTGCATAAAGCAAGGGAACAACCATGGAGCAATAGGCCTGGCATCTGAGGGGAAGGGGAGCAGTATCCAACAAGCCACAGAGTAGCCAGCAGTTAAGATGATGTTGAATCCTGGGGGTCTCCCCACATAGGGTCATTAAATGAATTACTGAGAACTTAACAGTGACATATGGCATTTAATCTTATTTGGTAAGCCTTAGTGGGCTCATTACCTGTTAGAAGTATGCAAACCATTTCCGACAAGGAAGGGGAAAGCTGCCTCGTGTCTAAAGATCAAATTCTTCTGAGCTCGAGAAAGTAACTGCTTTTTTGCTATTCCCAGGGAGCCATAAGAACACAAGAAGCACGGGAGACAGAGGTGGCTACAGTAGCTACAGGGGTCTCCCAGCTATGGACATGCTCTGGGCCTTAGTGGCCAGGCACTGCTGCTGTGTAAGAACCAGGGTCATATACATCCCCACAGTCCATATGTGACATAATCAGGGGATGCCTGACACAGGATTTCTGTCTTGGAGAGCACGAGCTCAAACCTGCATCTAATTTGATTTAGACCAGCCAGGAAATATGACTCCTCAAAACATACCAGATGTTTGTTCGAGTGCCCATCTCAATAGGACCTAGGGACAAGAGCACACACCATTTAAATCCCTTAGTCCATTCTACAGTTAAAAATCTAAACAGATGGCTGGTGATATAGCTCAGTAGTAGAGTGCTCTATCCCTAGCTCTGCTAAAAAACAAAACACCAAGAGAACAGTTGTCTAACCTGTATTATGACCAGCTACCACTAAACTTTTCAGAAAATAACAAGCATGTTAAAGGTAGATCCCACCATTCACTCACATGAAATCCAGCACAGAATCATTCCGAATGACTTTATGGGAGACATCAACTAGCAGAAAAAGACCTCCATCTGTCCTCCGGATGCTAGCTGCATAGCCAGGCCAGATCTGCAATCTGAAGAGAGCAGTGGTCTTTACCTTTGAGTTCTAAAGGAACACACCAACTTCCATTTCCCCATCTGAAACAATGCTTAAGAACTGATACTGCCCTTTCCTGCCGACAGTGAGGAAGCCCCAGGATATAACTAAGTTAAACCAGCAGTGCTGTAAGTTTACTAAAAATCTAAACTATAATAAATTTAACTAATAAACTATATTCACTTCCATAAAAAACTGTTGAAATTTTTGTCCTAAGTTTAGCAGTAACAATGAAAAATTTTTTTCCAGAGCATTCAAAATTTAAGAAGGGAAAAAATCCACCAACCTGTGTTGCTGTAATACCATAGCACTTGTAGGGTCATAGAAGTTTCTCCCCACAGGCTTCATATCTAAAAGTTTCATTACCCTGAAATAAAGAGTAGGAATGAAGAAATGAGGTTTTTTTGTTTGTTTTGTTTCTTTGGTAGTGCTGGGATCAAACCCAGGACTTTGCTACACAGACAAGCTACAAATGAGTACATCCCTAGCCTTAGAATGGGGTGTGTGTGTGTGTGTGTGTGTGTGTGTGTGTGTTACTGGGGACTAAACCCAGGGCTTTTGCACTAAGCTATATCCTGAGCCCTTTTTAAACATTTTTAATTTTGAGGTAAGGTCTCACTAAGTTGTCCAGGCTCTGCTCGAATTTGCAATTCTCCTGCTCCAGGCTCCCAGAATGCTGGTGTATGCCATCAGACCCAGATAAAATTAAGCTTCATTACTCTTGGTTTCCTTTGGAAGTCTAAAGGATCAGAAATATTTCTATCTTTTGACATATAGCTTTTATGTTAAGAATAATCTTACTAAAAGGAAAAAATGATCAAAGCATTTATCTTGGAGTATTGTAACTGGCATATCAAAATGGAATTTTAAAAGGTAGATTTTGAAGCCCTAAGTGTGGTGCACACCTATAATCCCAGCAGTTGGGAGGCTGAGGCAGGAGGATCACCACAAGTTCAAGGCCAGCCTGGGCTACATAGTGAGTTCAAACCCAGCCTGAACTACATAGGGAGACCCTGTCTCAGAAAAAAAATTTTTTTTAATTAATTAAAATAAAATTTTAAAAATAAATAAAAGCTAGATTTTCTTTTTAGAAATAAGTAACTGCTCCAAACTTCCTCTGCCTCAGCACATAACCAAAACCCCTCCTCTCATCAGCCCAATAGCTGTGATAGAATATACACATACTGGCACCAGGAGAACAAAGCTCAAATTCCTTTCTAGAAGAAAGGGGAAGCCAGTTGTGGTGGCTCACACCTGTAATCCCAATAATCAGGAGGCTGAGGCAGAAGGATAGCCATGAGTTTTGAGGCCTGAGTTCACCATCAGCCCTAACTACACAGCAACCGCCCCCCCAAAAAAGAAAGGGGAGCTAAAGATGGCTAGAAGTGATAAAGCAAGTGTGGAGATGTGCATTATCTCTCTATGTTCCCCTTCCCCATGTTCCTTACTATAAAAGATCCTTAGGGACAGGGATTTAGCTCAGTGGTTCCGGTGCCTGCCTCGCAAGCACAAGGTCCCAAGTTTGATCCCCGGTAACAACAACAACAAAAAAAGGCCCTTACCGACCTGCTGGACATGGTGAGATAGTGATTTGAAGCAAACAGGCCCTTCTGTCTTCCTGGAGCTAGCTTTGAATAAATCCCTTTCCTTCTTTTTACCAAAATAAATGCCCTCCTTTGATTTTGTCTGCAGCAAGTAAATGAACCTGAGCGGATAAACCTAAATGGCTGTTTGGATAAGTGACTGCAGCTTTTCCTACTTATTAGCTAATCAAATGCTGAGTTATTTCCCAGGCTCAATTTATATTACTTTTTACCATTAACCAAACAGAACACAACAAAGCCAGTTTCCATGTTTGTGAGTAACAGCCTGGTAAAGGGAATTATGTTTTTTCCTGGCAGTTCAGTTTACTAGGTTCTGTTTTACTACGTAGGAGGTAGTTCAGGAATAACAACCATAAGAAAATTAGGGAATCTCAAAAGAAGCTACCCAATTATGAGCTGTCTATAATTCAAAATTTTAAGGGACTGGAAAATTTCTCCCAACAAATACTTGTCCACATTACCTCTTTGAGTAATCCCCTCAATAACAACACAATTAATACACAGTATAAACATCTGCTTTGAAATTGTCTGAACTAATTCAAAGGAACCCATTCTGCTACCCAGCTACCTCCAAACCTAATTTCATATACTTGAATCTGGCTTATCACTTGTGAGATAATTTTTTGCTGTTTTTTGAGACAGGGTTTCACTAGTAATTCAGGCTGGCCTTGAACTTACTATGTAGCCCAGGTTGGCCTTAAACTTTGGGTAATCCTCCTATTTCAGCCTCCTGAGTGCTGGAGTTCCAGGTGTGCTCCACCATGCCCAGCTTTTGTGAGATAATTTTTAAGTTGCATCAAGATCATTCATTTATTTTTAGAACACTGGCACATTCATCTAGACATATACACTGTATATAATGCCATCCACGCTTCCTGAAGAACATTCATACAAATACAAAACTGAAGTTAAAGTGAAGTAAGACTGCAGCTGTTTTCTCACCGTCGGAAAACAACATTGTAGAAAGGAATGCACAAGTCAGAACAAGGCTCCAGGATCTTTGTCAACTGAATCTTAATGCTGATCTCAGCATCATCAGTTTTCCTTTGACTTTTTAACTCAAGAACCTAACAAATAACAGAAGTAAAAAGAAATGACAAAGAAATTAAGTCATAATCTAATCTGTGTTCTAGAGAACACTAGAATAGCTCAAAATGCAATTTCTACTTTTTTCTTCACTTTGTTGCCTACAATGGCAAAATCACAGCATGACAACTAGGATTTAAGAAATTATTTGGTAAAAGAAACCCAAGAACATTTGAAGTTGAAATTTTTTTTTGTACCAGGGATCGAACTCAAGACCTTGCACGTATGAGGCAGGCGCCCTGCCACTGAGCTAAATCCTCAGCCCTGAAGTTGAAATTTTAAGCCATTCTTTTATCACTCAAGTCAAAGGCTTTCAAACACTGTTGAAAGTCCTTCTTGAAGAACTCAAACAGAAGAATTTCTGTTAGGTTCAGTTCTGCAAAAATCTACCTTCCTTCAAATAGGAAGACATAATTCAAATGTTCAGGATGTCCATGGTTTCCCACCACTAAAAACATAAAAGCACTCTTAGATTTCATCCAAAGTACAATTCCCATTGGTTCTTTTTTTTTTTTTTGGTACCAAGGATCGAACTGGGGACCTTGTGCCTGCAAGGCAGGTGGCAGAACCATTTAGCTACATCCCTGGCCCCCCATTGGTTCTTACTTGTTGAAGCTTAATAGGCAGATAGAGAATAGATCCATCAAAAGCAGTGACATTTCCAGTGACAGCTTGATGGTCCTTTAACATGCCAAACCTCATGCTTTTGCATTCTATGTTGGGGCTGGAAAAAAATAAAGAGAATTTTACTTCAATTGGGCTCAAACAGCAATCTTCTTGTTTTTTAAAGGTAGTGAGGATTTACATTTATTGAAGGTGGAAAAGAAATACACTCTGTAGAATGAGAGCTGGCCAGGAGCAGAATGAAGCAGCCTCAGCAATCTTTATTACTCTTATCTGTACAATAGGTAAGTGAAAGAAGCAGTCGTTTGAAACTGCTCCACCTAGTGGTCATATTAAAAATTATATAGCTGACTAAAAATACCAAGTGGATTTAAGGATACCTGCTCATAGACAAACATTAGAAAATTTAAGCAAAGAAAAAGAAAATAAGGGAGGGGAGGGGGCTTGAGGGGGGAATGGGATAAAATAAAATTTATTAATAAAAAATGGAAAAGAAAATAAAAACCCTTAATTCCAACACCTAAGGACCACTGCCTTACCATGTCCAGACTTTAAATCTATATGAAAACATTTTATGTAAGGGTGCAGATAGCATTTTAGGCTTTGCAGGCTAGATTGTCTTGCAACTTTGATGCTGTAGCACAAAATCAGCAACAGACAATATATAAACTAATGAGTGCAGCTGTGTGCCAATAAAACTGCTACAAAAACAGGCCATGGACCATGTCTGACCTCCGGACCAACTATGGTTTGCCAATCCCTGCTTTAGAGTCTTCAGAAATCTGCACTTTTTAAAAAAAAGTATTTTTTAAAAACAGGTTTTTAGTCAGGTGTAGTGGTGCATGCCTATAATCCAAGCACTCTGGGAGGCTGAGGTAGGGGGAATCACAAGTTTGAGCCCAGCATGGACAACGTGGTAACTTAGCAAAACTGTCTCAAAAATAAAAAATAAAAGGGCTGGGATTGTGCTCTCTGCTTCCTGATAATCATGCCATGAGCTGCTTCTCTGCTTGCTGCCCTGCCTTGGAGCCACTTTTATAGATTGAAACCTCTATAAACTGCAAGCCAAAATAAACCTTTCCTTCTTAAAAAAAAAAAAAAAAAAGGGAGGGGGATGTAGCTTAGTATGATGGCCCTGGGTTCATTCCCCAGTACTGGGAGGTGGGAGCAGGGAAAAAACAACTTAAAAACTGGATTTTACTCTAACCACTTTTCACTCATGGGAGTTTCAACTTTTTATTGATTCACTGCTACAAATACCGTAGCTCAGAAAAACTCTGGAAGGAGGGGGAAGGAGCAGAAAGGAGGAGACCTAGAAAGAATTAAAATGTGTTATGTACATATACCAACTCCCCAAGATGAATATAATCATTATATACTGCAACATGTACTAATAAAAATTAAAATTAAAGAAAATGTCCAGCAACTACTTTAAACAATGGACTGTCCTGTTATGTCACAATAACACACAACCTTGTTCTACAACTGCAAAGTTTGAACAAATCCAAAGATAAAAAGGGTCAAGTACATTCAAATGCATGAAGATAGACTAAAAAAAAAAAAAAACGTGGTAATTCAACAGTCATTCATAAAATCAAACTTTTTTTTTTTTTTTTTTGAGACAGGGTCTTGCTATGTAGTTCAGGCTGGCCTTGAATTTACTATGTAGCCTAGGCTGGCCTTGAACTTTCAGTGATCCTTCTGCCTTATCCTCCCAAGTGCTGGGACTACAGGCGTGCGCCACCATGCCTAACTTCCCCTCTCTAACACTCATTTCTTCTACTCTCCTTACATATGTTCCACAACAGGCCAACATCTAGGGGCTCTACTTCATCCTTTTTTCTGGTACTTTCTTTTCCCCTGCCATATATATGTGTCAGCTCTCCTTTCATACCTGTAGTAAAGTCCTCTTTAGTTATCATCCTTTTCTCAACCTTAAAAACTTCTAGGGCAACCCACTTGGGACCCCTCCTGTCTCTCAGAAACTATTCCTATTCCACATTCCTATTCCCCAATAAATTTTCCTACTCTTAAAAAAAAAATCTTTAAAACGTCTAAAATGTGGGCCGGGAGGGCCAGGGATTTACCTCAGTGGTTCCGGCACCTGCGTCGCAAGCCCAAGGTCCCAAGTTCAATCCCCAGTACCAAAAAAAACCACTTCTAAAATGAGTAGTTGATTCACTCACTATTTCTCCTGGGCTATGTTCTCCCTGATTCCTTTAATCTTTTAGAGGTACCAAATAATCACTAAGGATATCTTTACTGTTTTTTATCATAACACATGCTCTTCTTTATTTTTGGAATAATTTTAGCCACAGTCTTAACTTTGTTTTTTTATTTTTATAGTCTTTTTCCATAGGAAACCTAAATCTTGAATTTACTTTATATAAAATTCTGAGTTGGTATGTGTTTATCTTACCTCAATCAATATACCTTTATAGCAGTCTGCATATAAAGCCATGTGGTAACAGTACAGGAGAACATTTACTAGTTTTTAAAGTGGAAAATTTTATTAACATTCAAATACCCCTCATATAAGACCATATAAAATTCTCAGCAGTTTGATTATACATTTCTATAATTTCTACGTAGTTACAATGGTGTATAATATAGCTTTGCATAATACATCATTTCAATACTTTAGTTCTATTAAACATAGCACTTATTTTCAAATCCACTACTTGAACAGTTTCCTCTGTATATAAGTTAGCAGTGTAAGATGCTCTTTATTAAAGAGGTATATGATCTGAGTATTAACAGTTGCTGAAATTGAGTATTTTTTGTTTGTTTTTTTTGGTACCAGGGATCAAACTCAGGACCTTGTGCTTGCGAGGCAGGCACAGCACCACTGAGCTAAATCCCATGCCCTGAAATTGAGTATTTTTATGCAGCATTTTCTTTTTGCTTTGACACAACACAAAACCCTTAACAATACTGAAATCTGCTAAATCCAAAGACATTACCTGTTGAATCATATCCATAACACTACAGTATTAACCCTTCTGAAATCTGCACTAGTTACAGACCTTTCCTATCAGGATAAGACTGCTTGGAAACAAAAATGAAAAAGATAGCTTTGAGTTTTCTATGTGGTGCTGATAGGAGGAGAAATGGTAAAACACCTTTGCTTCTCACAAATGAAGGCAACTTGGGGAAATACCAGAACATATTCCAACTCATTCTTCAGTGATTTTAGGGAGGTGTGAGCACTGGCTTTAGCTCATGCTAGATGGCCACGACACTGATTTCATGTGTGAAACACAAAACATTTGCATACTGTGATCTAAGTCTTAATCACAAGCTATATTGATATGTTTTGGCTATATTTCACTCTCAATGCCTGAGTTACAGCACCAGTCTGTTATTACTTATTAGTAAAATGAAGTACAGTCCTGCAGATAAGTGCCAAATAAAAGCCTGTTTTGGTAATTAAACAAAACACTAAAAAATAAGTTATTTCTACCAAAATCTCTAAAAGGAGCAAAGAATCAAATTATACACCTAAATAAATGTTTTAAAGGAAACTCATCACCTTTTGAAAGTCACATGGTATTTGCTATGTTGCAGTTCCACTCACCATTAGGCTGCAACAGACCACAACACTGTGTTCATTCACTTCATTTTCTGCCTCAGTGGTGTTAGTATCTTTGTTGTGATCATCCTCAGAGTCTGAAGATTCTGTCATGTTCTGATGTGAGCGGGACTCTGACAAAGCCCCAAACGACTAGGCACTGACAGAGGCTAAAGGCCTAAGCAAAGGAGTACGCTCTGACACTTCATTTTCTTCTTGACTACTGTCTGTGTCAGAGTCAGAATCACCTTGAGAAGCAACAATTTTTTGCTTGTAGGCTGGATAGGTTTTCTTGGTTTCAGCCAGGGGTCTACACACTTGCAGTGATTATCATGGGAACAGGGAAGTGTTCTGAGTTTGTCTCCATCTTTTTTTTCTTTTTGGTACTGGGGATTGAACTCGGGACCTTGCACTTTCAAGGCAGGAGCCGGGATCACTGAGCTAAATCTCTGGCCCTCCCCTCAGGATCTTACAAAGAGAACACAAACTAATACAATTTCTTAATCTTTTTGGGGGGGGTGCCAGGGATCAAACTCAGGACTTTGTGGGCTGGGGATTTAGCTCAGTGGTTCCGCCGCCTGCCTTACAAGCACAAGGACCCAAGTTCGATCCCTGGTACCAAAAAAAAAAAACTCAGGACTTGGTGATTGCCAGGCAGGCACTGTGCTGCTGAGCTAATCCCCAGCCCTACAATTTATCTTAAAAAGGTATAATACCCAAATGCATTTGGTACATGCCTATAATCTCAGCACTCAGGAAGCTAAGGCAAAGGGACTGCTGTGAGTTTGAAGCCAGGCTGGGCTACATAGTTCAAGACCTATCTGGACTACAAAGTGAGACTCTGTCTCAAAAAACCAAAAATAAATAAATAAATAAATAAATGGTATAAAAACCACCCTCAAATTTAACCCTAAACTGTCACTGGAGAGATGTCAACTTCGGTTACAATGACACAGGTAGGGAAAGATCCCAGTTTTGTGGGATATTTTCCACTCTGAGGGAGATTAAGAATAAGTATATAAAATTATACCCACAAAATAAGTCAAAAAGGCATATAAGGGACTCAAGCAAGCAAAAGGCCTTGAACTAAGCTTCATTAATTTTACATTAAATGCACTTCTAGCTTCATGTACAAACTTGTACCTATTAAGTTAAACTCTGAATTGGTAATACAGCTAAAAACATACATCCAAAAATATTAACCTTAGAGCTGGGCATGGTGGTGCACACCTGTAATCCCAGCACTGTGGAGGCTGAGGTAGAAGGACTGCAGCAAGTTCGAGGCCAGTCTTGGCTACATAGTGAGTTCAAGGTGAGCCTAAACTGAATAGTGAGACCCTGAATCAAAAAACAAAAAGCAAAAACAAAAAAATTATATATATATATATGTGTATATATATGTGTGTGTATATATATATGTATATATATGTATATATATATTAAAAAAATGTTAACCTTAAACTTCTGGCCAGGATCTGAGCACAAGGATAACTGCATGAAGAAGCTTACTAGGAATTATGCAGAATGGTAATGAGTCATTCCAGGGGAAATATATCATTCCTGTCCTCCAGAAAATGAACAATAGAAAAGCTGTAAGTACCTGAAAGTCACATGATATTGATAAACTGCTTCATTATGACACTGTATTTTGATGAGATTCAGTCCCAAAGATTGAGGTGTTCCTTTTGATCCTTGCTTCACAAAGTGCTCTCTGGGAAATAATAATTAAAAAACAAAAGCATCAGCTGACTGTAATGCTGTGTACCTGGAGTCCTAGCTACCCAGGAAACTAAAGCAGGAAGATTTCTTGAGCCAACTTGGAGAAAATTAAAAAGAAAAGCACCCACATACCCACATACAGGAAAAAACAATCAACCGACCGACACCTCCACCACCATCAACAACAAAAAGACTGGGGGAAGTAATATTTTTTACACTTTGCACAAACCAAGAACCAAGATGTACAAAACCAAGCTTTGATGAAAAGAAGATAAATCCATCAGGTGTTGTGGTGTACACCTGTGATCCCAGCACTTGGGAGGCTGAGGCAGGAGGACTGCTGTGAGTTCGAGGCCAGCCTGGGCTACATAGTGAGTCCCCAAGGCCAGCCTGAGCTACACAGTGAGATGCTGTCTCAAACAAACAAACAAAACCATAAAACAAACCACCCTGCACCCTCCCTATCACCCAAGGAGGACTTTGGACCCCACAGTCAGTGTTCACAGTACTACACATCAGCCCAGCCATAGAGATGAAGAGGTCCCTCCTGCCCCTTTGACATCTCTCTGCAGACCAGGCGACGCTCCTGACTTACCTCTCTTTGTGTTCCACAGTTGGGCCAGAGGAGTGATCTGGAGAGTTCAGTGAGGACCTGGGCAGAGGCTTTGGTGGTGACAGCTGCTGGGGGTCCCTGGCAGTCAGGCCAGGTGTCTGAAGATGCTTATCTACTCCTCTGCCTATGCTACCAGCTGTTCTTCCCAGAGGTAATGAAGAGGCATCTGAACTCCCTCTTCCAAGAATTCTGAAATGATACAAAGGGAGGCAAGTCAGAACTTTGCTAGTCATGCTTTTTATATATACTTCATCTTCCCACAAGTCTGAATTTTCTTTCTTTCTTGTTTTGTTTTGTGAGACAGGGTCTCGCTATATAGTTGGCCTTGAACTATGTATCCCAGGTCTCCTTAAACATGGAGAAATCCTCGTGCCTCGGCTTCCCAAGTGCTGGGATTAGTGGCATGCATGGATTCCCTTTCTGAAGGAGTCAACCAAAGAAGTTCAGCATAGCTTTGGGATTCTCTCAGATTCATGACTCATTCACAATGGCTATTGACATTAATTCTTGGAGCCATCTTCCAGAGCAGAGTTGAAGGGAATGTGACTCACCAGATTAAAGAGCCTCTTTAATCAGGGAAGCTTGTTAAGGGGGCAAACGAACTTGTGAATGGCCCAGTGGAGTACTCATCACCCTTTCCCAGTGACTGCCTGAATCAGTGGCAGCTGACTGCTCCTGGAAAATGTTCTTGGAAACCCTTGCTTGTATGGTAACACACCCCTGCCAGAACTTCTCTTTCCACCTAGGCTTGATGGTTGCATGGGAAGGGGACTTGACCCACCTATTCCAACCAACAGTGGCCTCTGCCAGCTTGCTATTCCCAGCTGCCAATACCAGAGGATCAGGAAAAGCAGGACGAGGTTCTTCTTTGTCCTTGTGTACCATGTTAGCTGACAAGCCTCGACCTAAAATGCCTCTACCTGAAAGAGCCAAACCTCAGCTATAATTGTGAACCAAACACGTTTCAAAGTAGTTACTTTTCGGGCCGGGGATTTAGCTCAGTGGTTTCGCTGCCTGCTGTGCAAGCGAAGGACCCGAGTTCGATCCCTGGTACCAAAAAAAAAACAAAAACAACAACAACAAAGTAGTTACTTTTCTAAATATAAACTCTATAAATTTAAGAACCAAGTACCGGGCTGGGGATTTAGCTCAGTGGTTCTGCCACCTGCTGCGCAAGTACAAAGTCCCAAGTTCGATCCCTGGTACCAAAAAAAAAAAAAAAAGAACCAAGTACCTATACACATCACAATTCTCAAGTTTGTTTTCCACATACCTAAAGAAGGCACTTCTCGTTTCAGAGGAGTCGGGGACACCATCTCAAGGCCCATGCCTCGGAACATGGACACCAAACCAATACACTCCTAGAGAAAGGCAATGAGTAAAGTTATTCTAAGATGTAGTTAACCCCAGATCTGCTGAAATCCTTGTCATTTTTGTTTCTAAAAACTTCCCCTTGCCTCAATCTCCTTGAGCGTGCCCACAGTTTATTATGATATATGTATTCCCATTGTAACGTTCAGCTACTCTCAAACAAATATTATTCTTTGGAAAAAAATAGATAAGCAAAAACAAAAACAAAAAAAATCAGTCTTCAAAATTCATAAATGTTAAAAAGGAATAATAAAATCACTGACCTGAAATTGTACTACAAAGCTACTGCAATAAAAACAGCATGGTACTGGCAAAAGAACAGACCTGAGGATCAATGGAACAGACTAGAAGATGCAGAAACAACTCCAAACATACTCAGCCACCTTATCTTTGACAAAGGAGCCAAACACCTTCACTGGAAGAAAGATAACCTCTAATAAATGGTGCTGGAAAAACTGGCTTTCCACATGCTGAAGATTGAAACTAGACCCATATCTTTCACCATGCACTAAATTAAAATCAAAATGGATCAAAGATCTAAATAAAACAGAAACACTAAATCTGCTGGAAAAGAGAATAGGTAGAACTCTTGAAGACATAGGAGTAGGCAAAAAACTTCACAAACCACATGGGAAATATTACAAAAAAATCAACAACTGGGACCTCATCTTGTTAAAAAGCTTTGGCACAGCAAGAGAAACCACCAACAGAGTGAAGAGACAACCCACAGTGTGAGAAAAAAATTTTTACCAGCTATTCATCAGACAAAGGACTACTATATATAAAGAAAAAAAAAATCAGACCCCTCAAATTATAAAACCCAATCCAAAAATGGGCATCTGAAATGAAAAGATAGTTCTCAGATGAAGAAGTAGAAACAGCAAATATATTTTAAAATGTTCAACATTCCTGGTCATTTGATAAACGCAATTTTTAAAAATGCTGAGATTCCATCTCACTCCAGAAAGAATGGCTGTTACCCAGAAATCAACCAATAACAAATGCTGGAGGGGCTGTGGGGAAAAAGGAACCCTTCTCCACTGCTGATGGAAGTGTAGATTGGTGTAACCCATGTGAAAATCAGTGTGGAGATTTCTCAAAAAACTAGAGGTTCCATTCGACCCAGCTGTTCTCCTTCATTTTCCCAAAAGAAAATCATCATACCATAGCAATATATGCACAGCCATGTTTCTAGAGGCACAGTGTGTAATAGCTAAATCTTGGAAACAGCCCAAATGCCCACCAAACCATGAATGGATAAACATGTGGGGTTTTTTTTCATACAATGGAGTACTACTCTTGCCATGAAGAAGGATGAGCTTCAGATATTTATAGCTAACTGGATGGACCTTGAGACCATACTCTTCAGTGAAATAAATCGGACACACGTTTAAATACCGCATTGTTTCCCTGGTGTGAGAAACCAAAAGTGGAAATGAGGACGAAAATGTATAATAATATTGGGAAATGGGAAGAAAATGTTCAAATGAGGAGAACAAGGGAGGAGGGAGGGAGAAGGGAAGGAAGGGAGATGATAAAAAGTGAAAATAGAAGGAAAAAACAGAAACAAAACTTTTGTACAAAAGGAGGGGAGGGAGCTTGAGGGAAGGAGGAGAATGGGGAAAAAAAAGGATGTATTATATACAGGCGCAAACTCTCTCTGACAAGTGTTACCATTATGTATGCCTAAAATGTACCAATAAATGTTTTGCTAAATAAAGAAAGACCTAACTACATCCTTAAAGTATAGAGTTCTCCGTACCTTGTAAGTAAATATAAGAAATACCTAGTGTATTATTATTATAAAAATTAATTAGGAGGTTAAGAACACACACATTCTTATGGCAGTAACAACAGCTACTCTTTTTAAGATTTGGCCAAAGAGCTTTTTGGTTTTCCCTAAAGAGTTTTTGAAAGGAACAAATCTAACAATTTTACCTCAGATGTAGGAGCTACTGCCAATATCATGAAGCCCAACCAGGGTGAAAAGCTGAACACTCAGATAAAAACAACAGGCTGTACCACTGATACTATTCAATTATGGATGGATGAATGGATGGATGGACAAACTGAACTAGAGGACTGATCTAAAGCACTAATCCAAGTCCACTTAGTGTTTATTATGAGGTACTTCTGTACACTCACAATTTTAGTATTTGAACTACATGCCTATAAGACACAGTTTTTTGTTTGTTTTTGTTCTTGTTTTTGTTGTTTGGGGTTTTTTTGACAGAGTCTCACTATGTAGTTGAAGCTGACCTTGAACTCAGTATGTAATCCAGGCTGGCCTCAAATACATAGTGATCCTCCTGCCTCAGCTTCCCAAGTGCTGGGATTACAGGCATGCACCACCATGCCCAGCAAGATGCAATTACTTGGTGAAAACAAACCAATAGTGGCACAGTTTATAATAGCTAAATCTTGGAAACAAAATGCCCATCAACCATGAATGGATAAAAAAGATGTGGGGGAGCCAGAGATTCAGCTCAGTGGTTCCAGTGCCTGCTTCGCAAGCACAAGGTGCCAAGTTTGATCCCCGGTACCAAAAAAAAGATGTGGGGTTTTTTTTCCATATAATGGAGTACTACTCTGCCATAAAGAAGGATAACCTTGAGCTATTTCTAGCTAAATGGATGCACCTTGAGGACACACTCTTAAGTGAGAGAAACTGGACACATATGTTTAAATACTGCACTGTTTCTCTGATGTGAGAAACTGAAAGTGGAAATAAGGATCAAAATGTATAAGATAATGGGAAATGGGAAGAAAATGTTCAAATGAGAAGGGGAACAAGGGATATGGGAGAGGGAAAGGAAAGAGGGACAAGAAAAAAAAGAGAATAGAAGGAAAAAAATGGAAACAAAACTTCTGTAAATACGGAGGGGAAGAAGGGTCAAATGGAGAGGGGGAATGGGAAAAAAAGAAGCAAGATATATCATGTACAGGCACAAAATCCTTGATGAATGTTATCATTATATATATCTAAAATGTACCACACACCAAAATAAAAGGGGCCTGGGATGTAGCTTAGTGGTGCTACACCTGCCTGCCAAGTGCAAGGTCCTGCGTTTAATTCCTGGTACTAAAAAATAAAATAGACTCCTGGTCCCCCCCCCAAATTTTTTTAAATAGAAATTTAAAAAATATAAAATGTACCAATAAATGTTTTGCGAGAGAGAGAGAGAGAGAGAGCAAGCCAACCAAAACATGCCTTGGTTTTGTACAAGGCTTACCAGATTCTTAAGCATTTTGAAATCTTACTTCCTCTGATCACAAAGCAAGCTGTATGTTACTCCTGTGCAACCAAATGTACTCTTACCCTTTGTGCTGGCTGATTCTGTGTGGTGGGTACCTCTGGCTTTCCAAACACATAGCCTCTGCCTGTAGGTCCTGCCCTTCCCAGAGCTAAGTTCAAAGGTCTAGGAGCTTGCGGCCAACAGCCTGGCATTCGTACACACTGAGATGGGTGGACAGGAGCAGGGGCCCTGAATGGTGGGCGGACAGGATCCATCAAAAATCTGTAGAAGACGCGGTGTTGAATCTATTCTGGTTTCTTACCTGCCAGCAATTTTAAAAAAAATTAGATTCCCAAGTATTTTTCTTTTCCTTCAAGAAAGACAAACTCACAAAAAATTACTTTACCAGTGATATGATCAGTCTTCTATAACAAATTCACTTTAAAAGCTTCTATTTGAGTCTGAAAAATTCTAAACACCCTCCATTATAATCCCTTAGGGGCCCAAGCCTTCCTCCAATTTCCTCACAAACTTACATTTTCTTCCCAAATAGCCTCTCAGAGAATGAGTCCTATAAATTAAGCTTTTTTTTTTTGGTACCGGGTATCGAACTCTGGTCCTTGCACTCTCGCAGCAGGCAGTGAAACCACTGAGCTAAATCCTCGGCCATGAGTCCTATAAATTAACCACCTGTTGTAGAAGGAAGTAATTTTATAAATGGGGATGATTTGGGTTAATAAACAAGTCTATAGTTAACTTGTCAACAAATATTTATGGGTGTTTGGTCTCCTTTATACCAGAGTCCTATTTTTTTCCCCAGTGTATAACTGCATTAAACTCATCTCCTTAAACTCTTTCACTGCCTCTCTCAATCTATATCCAAGTCCTTCCTATAAAACTATTCCAAACTCCAACAGGACAGAGATCTCCAGGATACAGAGCCATTTACCTTGAGTTCACAATATTTGCTGGGTCTCTGAGGTTCCATTTATTGAACATCTTCTCTCCCCCAGGTAACTAGGGATTAGTCTCTCCTCCACCTCTTATCTCCCAAGTCTAAGGTTTGTGAGTCCTCTTCAAAACTGCTTTAAAACCTACAAATTTCAAGACTCCCATTGTTAAGGGCTCCTCTCATTGTCCTGACAAGTTCTCTGAAGAACATTTTTACTTTTTACTTTGATGCTTAGTATCCAACCCAGAGCGTTGTGCTTGCTAAGCATGAGCTCTACCACTGAGCTACTTCCTCGGTCCTTATTATTTTATTTTTGAGACCAGGGTCTTCCTAAATTCCTAGACTGCCCTTGAACTTAACAATCTTCTTGCTTTAGCCTCCCTACCAGCTGGGTCTACAGGAATATGCCACTACTCCTGGTAAAGAATCTTTCTTAAGGACCGGGGATTTAGCTCAGTGGCACAGCACCTGCCTGGCAAGCAGGAGGTCCTGAGTTGATCCCTAGCACCAAAAAAAATCTTTCTTAACTAAAAAGTAAGCTATTCTTAACTTTTGAAAACCGTCTGCAGTACAGTATTAGCTACAAAGAAATCAGGCTGTGCATATGAAGACGAGACTAACACACAACTCCTAAGTCAATTTTATAGGTAGGTGGAGGTAGTTTTGAATTAATCTACCCTCTTCTATGTTAAAAGGGCTGCCTATGTTTCCTTTCTCAAGGCTACAGAGCTCTCCCTTCATTGTTAAAACTTTTTTTTTCAGTGAACCTGGACTCTTCCCTTACATCGCTGCAGGCCCACACAAGAATCAAGAACAATCAGCCTAACTGGTAAAAGGGGTGATCAAAGACCCAAGTTCAATCCCTGGTACAAAAAAAAAAAAAAAAAAAAAACTACCGTGAATTTTGCTTAAGGGCTTTTTTTCAAACCATTGCAGTAAACACACACACACACACACACACACACACACACACATATATTGCCTAGAACAGTGGGATAAATGTGATGGCAATGTGACTTTTAATTGTAATCAAATTTGTAAACAATCACCAAATTTTCCAAACACGGGATCTGGAACCCTGTGACCACTGCCTCTTCCCCAAAGTCAAAATAACCAAGGAGGATGAACATTTGAAATCGATTCAGGCCCTGAAGGCAGCCGCAACAGTGTAACTAAAGACACAAAAGGACTTCCAGAACTGCTTCTGAAAGTGGCAAGACGATAGGGAAACTGCATTCGAAGCCAAGGGGAGCGTCTGGGGAGGACTCATGGCAATGTGTCTTCTACTGTAATATTCTTTTAAAAATGTAGACATTCGTGTGTTTTTTCCTGAGAGGTGCTGTAACACCGACCAGGCCCGGGGATGGAGCTCCGCGGTCCAGCCGCTGCCTGGCAAGCGCGAGGCCCAGAGTTCCACCCTCCGTACCAAAGAAAGTTAAGGGTGTAACCCGCACCAGTCTCGGACTTCTGGAATCTTCTTTCTCCACCCTCCCCCACCCTCCCCTCTCTTCTACAGATTGAGGTCCTCCCTTCACAGATTCCACATTTCGTCACCCAGCAGACACTTACCTGAAAAAGTAAGGTTCCACAGGGCAGGGCCTACCTTCCCCTCAAGCCTGTGGGCAAGGGCACTAGCCCGGCCGACTGGATGCGTAGGCCGCCCTAAAGGCGACCGCCACCCTCTTCACGCCTGAGAGAAAACTACCTTCTCCCAAACCACCAGCTCTGCTCAGGGTCCTGCCCACTATTTCCGAAGCAGTAACACGCCACTCAGCGGCCCGCCATCCCTGCCTCCTCGGGTCACCACTTGACCCCCTCAGTGAGATCCCTTGTTCCTCCCACGTGCCAGCATACTAAAACAACTTCCGGCCGTCTAGCCCCGCCCACCTCCCACCAACGGGGGGCGGGCCCTGAGGGGGGCCGCCCACCAGCACGGTTGCGTGGGGGACGCCCCACCCAGCCTGAGCCCCCTGCCCTGCCCCTCCGGGCCTTAAGCACTAGGCTCAGCCTCTCACCTGGCCTCCTGGCCTCGCAGGCCCTACTGAGCCTTTAGAGAAGACTGTACTTACCCCGCCATGCAGAAAGTTACACAGGCAGGCCAGATGCCGATTTCTGGTCCTCTGGGCCCCTAGAGATGGAGCCCATCGGCCCCAGCCAACTTGTAGGCTCCCCTGAAAAAGACTGAACCCAAGGGTTTCTGCATGGAACTACTGTACATCCCCAGTGATTGATTGATTGATTGATTGATTGAAACAGGGTTTCACTATGTAGTTCAGGCTTCAAATTTCCCATCCTCTTGTCTCAGGGTCCTGAATAGCTGGAATTACAAGTGTGAGTCACCATGCCTGCCCAGCTTTCTTTTTTTAATAATGTCTTGCCTTAAATTCCCAGTCTTCCTGCCTTACCCTCCTGAGTTGCTGGTATTACAGGCATATCCCACCATGCCTGGGTTTCCTTAGATTTCCATACTCTGTTCATGTAAGAGTAGGTAGCCTCTGTAAAGTATTTTAAATTGATCCATACATCACAAATACTGCTTATTTCACCAAAGAAGACTCCATATAATCTTGGTGTTGATTGGACATAAAGATGGTTGAAGTGGGGTTGGGGAGGCTAAGGCAAAAGGACCATGAGTTAGAGGCCAGCCTGGGCTATGCAGAGACCATGTCTCAAAAAAAGGGGGTGAGGCCGGGGATTTAGCTCAGTGGTTTCGCCACCTGCTGCCCAAGCTCAAGGACCTGAGTTCGATCCCCAGTACCAAAAAAAGGGGGAGGGGGGCCTGGAGATGTAGCTCAATGTGAAGGTTCTGGGTTCAATCCCTTGTACCACAAAAAAAGAAAACAAAGGATAAAGAAAACTCACCATCAGGCAACTTTGTGAGACTCTTTCTCAAAATAAAATAAAAAGGCATATAGCTCAGTGGCAGAGTGCTTGCCTAACATGTATAAGAGTCTGGGTATAATCTCCATCCCTCCCAAGAGAGGGAGAATATATGATTATGAATATGAATTTGAATCTGAATTCAAATTCTTGCCTATCTTCAATCTGGGATATCAGCTTTTTCCTGCTTTCAGACTCAAACTGAAACATTCGCCCTTTCTGAGTCCTGAGCCTGCTAGCCTTTGGACTGGAACTACATCACTGGTCTCTTGATTCTCAGGCCAGTGTGAAGTTGAATTGGAACCACACCGTTGGTTCAGCAGGGTGCCCAGCTTGCCAACTCACATCTTCGTCATGATTAGTACCCAGAGAGTGGCCAAGAGGAAGCAGTCCCTTCTGAGAACAGGCATTCAGTTACCACAGTGCTTCATGACAGAGGTTTGGATACAGTTTGTCCCCAAGACTTATGGTGATTTTGATTCCCAACGTGGAGGCATTGAGAGGTGGAGCTTTTTGGAAGGAACTAGGTCATGGAGCACTGTTCCCATGAATGGATTACTATCTGCCTCAAGAGACTGGATTAATACAGGCATGGTGGCATATGCCTGCCATCCCAACATTTTGGCAGGCTGAGGCAGGAGGATCACAAGTTCAAGACTATCCTAGGCCATTTATCAAGACCCTGTCTCAAAATTTTAAAAAATTAAAGGGGTGAGGATGTAACTCAGTTCTCACAGGAATGGATTTTTCGAGAGTAGATCAGATTGTTTTATAGCAGCAAGGGCAGCACCTCCCCTTATTCTCTCACGGTGCTCAGGCCCACTGTTCTTCCTTTTTCTGCAGAACAGATGCTGATCTCATCCTCTTGGACCACCAGAACCACGAGCCAGAATAAACCTCTTTTGTTTATAAATTACACAGTCTCAGATACTCTGTTATAGCAACAGAAAACAAAGACATTAATATACATGCACCAGAAAAAAACAAAACAATGGATGTTGTCTTCATCTGTTTTCTGCTATTATAAGAGAATACTAAGAATTTTTTTAAAATACTGAGAGAACTACAGACTGGGTAATTTATGAGGAAAATTCATTTATTTCCCACAGCTCTGGAGTCAGGAAGTCTGAGTTTGCAGAGCCTGCATCTGATGAGGGGCTTCTTGCTGTGTCCTGTCATGGCAGAGAGCACCACATGGCAAGAGAGGTGAAAAAACACACACACGAGAGAGATTGCTGTTATAAACCACTCCTGAAATCCATCCATTTAGGAGTGTGGAGTCCTTATGACCTAACTGCCATGTTTTTTGTTTTTTGGTGGGGGGAGCAGACAAGATTTGCTGTGTAGCCCAGGCTGGCCTCAGACTTACACTGAACCTCCTCTCCTACCTCAGCGTCTCCTGGGATTACAGGCCTGTGCCTCCACACCCAGCTCCTAATCACCTCTTAAAGGTTCCACTTTCCAATACCATCCCAGGATCGGTTAAATTTCAACATGATTGTTTCGAGGGTCTTGAGGAGGCCATGGCAATGAGTAGCAATCTCAGAAACCTGTGGATAGCGTGGGCAGTGTGGAAGGTCCATGACTCAAAGTGTATTGTTAAACTGCAAATGCTACACAGCTAAAAATCTGACTGAGATTAGTTTCGAGGGCCACAATGGGGAGGCCAGACTCAGCCGATTAGAGTGGAACAGCAACCCTGAAACCTGAAGAAACCAGGACTTCCACGAGGAGTCAAAGCTGGGGTGGGGGCTGCACACTGTGGCCTCCCTCAGCAAGACAGTTTCATCTTTATTAGGAGTTGCAGGTCTGGCAGCAGTCGTAGTGAGCACATGTGGAACACAGTCTTTTACCTGGTGCCCAGGCTACAGTGGTGGGTGTGTTGCAGTGTCTGCCACATTATGGATCCATGCAACAGAGGTAGCAGTCTCATCTCCCATCTTGATTCCAGCTGTACTCATCAGAGAATGAACCCTCACATGCACACATGCACACCCGCATGAGTGACATAGATGGTTTGATCAGCAGTTATGATCTGTTTCCATGGTTGACGGCCCTAAAGAAGGAAGTCTGTAACCTGCCAGTCTGTACTTTTCCAGGTGGCAGACAGCACAGCAAGGCCACTGTCAAGCCCAAGAGTCAGTAACAGCAGAATGACATCAATCAGGAGTAGTGGCCAGAGCTCTAAGAACAGCTTTCAGTTCTCCCTACCCAGTGGAGCAACCACATCTACTTTTCACTCCATTGCTGGCACTGATGCCCAATAGCACAGCAGCCCTGAGGACACCACTGGCTTTGGCTTAGCCAAACATCAGTAAAGCAGGGCCTAGCATTTAGGGGAACCTCTGTGAACTGGTAACCTCACTGAACTGGTAGCTTTGCTTTGCACTTTGGAGTGGAGGATAAACTCCCCCCAAATGGACAGCTTCCACAAAGGGCAAGCCTAATGTACTGGACTGTACCATTTTTGACAGGTAAGGTAGGTTGGACCCTTCCACATGGCTCTGGGGGGGGTACTGGAGATTGAACACTGAACTCATGGCCTTTGCACTGAGCTACATCCTCACCCCACCCCCCTTTTTAATGCAGACTCTCTCTAAGTCACCAAAGTTGCCCAGGCAGGTCTCAAACAATTGCAAGCTGAGGTTGCAATCCTCCTGCTTCCCTCAGTGCTAGGATTACAGGTATGCACCCACATGGCTAGTTGTTGAATCTTAGCCCATCCCAAAATAATAGTATCAGTCACAGGTTTGATGGGTATGTGTTCTGACACACTTTGTCAGGTGTTCAGTCTTTTTTGTTTCTGTTTTTTGGGGTTGTTTTTCTTTTGGTACAGGAAATCGAACTCAGGACCTTGCACTTGCAAGGCAGGCACAGAGCAACTGTGCTAAATCCCTGGCCCAGGTGTTCAGTTTTGATGAGAACCCAGTACCAAGCTAAGCATAGCTGCTTTTCGAAAAGGCTAGACCTTTAGGCCACATCAAGGTGGCAATGAATCCAATACCCGCCAAGGGGCACCTTTGGGTGGAGGGTACCTCCATTTGACCTGCTCCAATCAACAAGATGATCAACCATGGACTTTTACTTCAAAGGAGTTATTAGGATTATGGAGCCACAAAGACAGGAGCACATCTCTCTTTGCAGCAATTCCTGAGAGGTTTAATCTCCTCGGACATTTATAAGCATACATAGCATATTCATATACTACACCAGAGCTAGTTGTACAGTCACTAGAGGAAGCCACAAGGACAGTACCTTGGACCAGCTCAAAGCCCTACCTACAAGGTCAGTTTCTTATTTGAATATGGTCATTTCTGTCCACACTGCTGTTTACTACTAGGACTTGGGATAATGTAACCAGACTGTAACTCAAGCTGCACCCTGGGTTTGATGGAAGTGTGCTGACTGCTGTCCTCCTGGGCAGAGACATCATGGTGCCCTGCAACTCAGCAAAGATTTTTAGGGCTACAAGGTCCTTGTACATTTTTTTTTTTAGGTACTGGGTATCAAACTTGGATCCTTGCGCTTGCGCAGCAGGCGGCAAAACCACTAAGTTAAATCCCCGGGCCTGAGGTCCTTGTAAATTTGAGATTGGAGCCAGGTGCTGTTCCATGAAATGCTTCCCTGGAGGGCTACTAATTCCCAATACTTTTCTTCTAATTTCTAATTTTCTTCTAATTTTTCTACTAATTCCCAATTCTTTTCTTTTCTATTTTTAAGTTAGGGTCCAACAGCAGTTTACTTTGGTTGGAATATTGACCTACTCACAGAGGCTGATAGATGTTCAAATAACTAGGACTTAACAGAGTCTTACTGAATCTAACAGCTGCCTGATGTTATATAATTAACTTAATTGGAGCTGTAGTTAGGCTACTTGAATCTTTAAATACCTATAATAGGTATTACATTTTAATCCCTTATTTTGAAAAAATCAGAAATGGATGTCCACATGTAATTTGTAGTTACCAATGATACGAAAA